TAATTTATAATTTACGGAGCTACACTTCGTAACATCTAATTCTTGTTTTAATATTTTAAAGGCAATTTACAGCAGATTGAAAGATGCTTCATACTTTAAGAATCAAACCGTTTATAGATGGAGATTGAGCATTTTTATGCCTTATAAACGGAGCTACCCAAGTCCCATAATATTTTCATATTAAATTTAGTGATTACATTTACTAATTATTAATCCCAGACACCCTCCCTTTAAAACGAGCAGCGCGGGGGTATTTATACTACTGTTAGATGACTTTGATTATGGGTTCATTTCAATAGGTCAGTATAAGATTCTTACAGTACTTTTTACCTCAAGATTTCTTCATGTAAAACGAATAGCTCTAAGGTAGTAATTTCTGCAGAGTACTGACTTTTAAAATAGTATTCATTATATCGGTAAGGGTGGCCACTGGGCCTTTCAATTTTGATTTGAGGTAATACTCTGATGAAAATTGAATAGACATAGAATCTTTATAGAGTTTTCTACACAGCCATTTTGAATGTTACATTTTCTTATAACGGTTGTTATCGACAGAGCAAGCTTTGCTTGCATACGCAAGCGATCCTTAGACACATTATAATGATTGGTATAGAATTGACCACAGTACTAAGGATATTGTACCGCACTGTCGATATCTTACAGTACACGCTAATCTTAACTTGGTATGTCCATCACCGTGTATTAGTTATCATAATGTGCTTTGAACCATTAACTAATCTTAATATAGCATTTCATAGCATTTCATTCGTGAATGCATTATTGAAAAGTAGTATTGTGGAAGCATAGCTGTGAATATAGTAGTGCCTGGCTATTACCAGGATATATGTAATGTCGAATGGTAATACTATCTGTTAATTAATAACATATGGGTATATTATCGTAAACCGTCAGCAAAGCGACGTGAGTTTGTACTAGTATTAATTTAAAGTAGTTAAATCTAAACTAAAACGCTAACCATAGAAACCTGTTCAAGCGTGTGTGGTTTTAAAATAAACGAGTTATTGCTTAAGAAGTGTGCAGTGCACATCTTGCGAAGAAAAGTGTAACCTTAATCAGTTGTTTATGAAGATCAACATAGGATCTGAATTTTATTAGTGGTGTATCGCTCCCACAAAGACCAAATCTCTGGGAAAATTGGCCCGATTTATAGAATTATGTTAGAGTTCAATTAAATTTTTATCACAACCGCCCATACGTAAGTAATGGTTGACCGCTACGATAATTTACTTTATGGACACTTGATAGTCTTGTACAATTAAGAAATCTATTTTAAAATCTTACAATTTCTAATAATTTCGTAATTCTATTTTATGGTAAAGGTAATTTTTATACCAGTTTCAAATTGTTTTGTATTTCGTCTGATCAGTTTGAAATTATGATGTGTATAGTGATTTATGCAATAATTAAGAAAAGATATAACTTGACATATTAATACCAATTACTTATTAACTGCTCATAATTTACTTCAAAAGTCATTTAATTATTTCCTAGTCATTAATAATATTTCGATAGCAATACGTATTATCCACATATCTTGATCTTCTGATAACCAACTCTAGAATCAATAAAGATAGACAATATCTGCTATTGCTTTATGGTCAGGAATCAGATTTTTTAGCAAAATGGGTAGGATTCAAGTATAAATCTTTATCGATTGTCTAGGTTATCAAACTAAATTCTGCATTTAAACTCGAACACCCTGAGTAAAGATCAAATTTACTTGAAAATTATTAGGCTACAGTTGTTAACAACCGCTCTAACAGATCAGATAGTTAAAAGCTATTAAAAAATCTCTGATCTCACACCTTCAGGAAGATATGTCACGCAAAAAAAGGAACATAAAATGGCAGCATCTCTATAACTACAGCCTTAAATTATTAATTTACTGCGGCAGTATCACTTACACCACCGCAGAAGAACACATAATTTCGGAAGATTACAAAATAAATTCTGTTCTCTTCCTTCAGTCAAGATAAAAGTAAAAGCGTCTAAGATACCATAAGATTAGTGATATAATAACTGTATTGTTTAAATCCGGGATTTATCTCCATGTTATTTTTGTTATAAAGCCTGCATATAATTATCACCTAATATAATCTATGCGGAACTTTTAGCGATCTTTAATATAGATCTCATTTTGCTTAATAAGCAATTGAGGGTATCTGTAATAAACAGCTATATAATTAATAGAAATGATATAATGTGTATTTAGTGAAGTGTTGCTACGGCACTGCATTTATATATATGAGTATACTTTGGAGGCAGTGTTATCCGAAACAAAGATGTTTTTAAAATTGACAACTCTGTACGTATTAGTTAGAGTATGAATAAAAAATATCGCTGATTTTAAATATGTACTATGCCTTGCAACACGTAAATTGAACTGGTCATAGCAATAGATTCTGGTCGTTTACATCAGAAAAAATATTACTTTACTTTTTACAGTACGTGAGTCACGCACTCTTATGACATTACTTATAACAGATAATATCTTCCTTTTACATATAAGCAGCGAAGAAAGGTCAAATAAACAAACCACTTTATTTATTGATTTAGATGATTGCTTGCAAGCTGATTACAAATAAAGCTTCAATTTACTCTTTAAGAAATGACGTCAATAAAATAATAGTATATAGATGTACCAGCATAAATGGTCGAATGCTATACATCATGTTTAGTGACTTTTTCAGCTTCAATTTACTCTTTAAGAAATGACATCAATAAAATAATAGTATATTGATGTACCAGCATAAATAATGATTTGGCTTTCATATCGAAAGTGATGGTACTGTTTAATTGCAACTTTGCGTGATGATTCATAGAGCCTTAAGAAATTACTGATAAATTAAAAATTTACTCTAATAGTTCAGCTGATCGAGTTATAAACATACTTAAATCAATAATTAATGCGGCATAAACATTAATTATTTAACAAGAAAACGATAAAAGAGCGGCGAAGTTACCTTATTAACTTTATAAAAATGATTATTCTCAAATCGTAAACTTTATAGTATCACAGCATTCCTAAGCCGATAAATTAAGTAACACCCGCACTTAAAAAACTAGCTTAGCCCTGATTTTCGTCAGTTAGAGTCTCCTTCTGAGCTATTAAAATTTAGTACTGCTTTCTTTTAATCTCTCTCTAAAATATTATAAAAAGCTCATAATCGAAATATTATATCACTGCAAGTGATGTAAGTGCTAGTGAAAATTATTTTATTCTTACAATTTATAAATTAAATTGTTTATATGATGTTATGTACAAGCAATCGCACTATAATGAATTCATTCTTAATCTATAATTTTAATTTTCTCCAATTCGCGATCTCTTTCTTCTCCGTAACTAAAAACAAACACTGTTTTGATGACGAGTTTTTAGAATATTAAAAAGGGTTTTAATAAACTTCCATAATTTGGCTTCATACGACACGTTTTCACTCTATACTTAATCGTCCCTCTATATTATTAAAGCTTCTGTAGCATTTTGTTTAGCCTAGCGATTCGTGCCAGCTAATCTACTCATAACTAAGCTGCTAAAATTTTATATCGTCACAGATACGAATACATACTATATCAACGCCTCATCAATCAAGAAAGATTTGCAATTTAGTTTTCATAACAGATATCGGAAAGAAAATATGGCCGCATACAACGGTACTGTCTTACTCTCTGAAGATGTTTATAAACTATGCTGTTGATAATTTAAAACATGCATTTTTATTTGTTCATAAAATATAAATTATCGTTTCATTGTATATTATTATAACAATACGATAATTCATACCAGCATGCCCTCACTGTTTTGCTAACTGTTGTGCTTTCCAATGGCAAATAAAACTGCCAGCGAAAAGTATACGAGTTTGTGATTTAGAACTATAGCAAAAATTAATCTCAATAATTATAAGAACAAATTCTCATGTAATTTAATTTTAAATTTTGTTTATTGCGCTACGCCATTTGATTGCTATGGAAATTAGCAATACAAACACTACTAATTTCCTATTATGAAGAGGGAGACTGGGATTATTCTTCTAATTCTATAACAATTCGTGAATACCTGTGCATCGCATAGTTCAGATTTTTCTAAATGAAAGCTTATTGAGTGATTGCTATGCTTATTTTCAGAAATCAATTTGAAATCTATTTGCTTTTGAAATTTGACGAAATCTGTGTAACAATATCTTATTCAATTCAGTAAAATTTTTTTGTATGTAAAACCTGGATGAAAACAGAGTTTAAAATTACATAGAAGTTGCAGAATAGACATTGGCGTCAACATATTTTTTTAAGTGAAAAGAACTTTATTAGTATTAATATTAAGTAGAAAAGCATGATACTTCGACGTTTATTATGCTATCCTCCAGCAAATGCGTATTTACATCCCAATAAGAGTGCTTATATAGTTATACAGAGTGTGCTAATGATCTCATGATCTCGGACTATACCGTACGTTATGATCTTCTAAAGTAGAATGCATGGTAATACATATAACAAATTTATAATTATGTATATGAATATAAATGTAGATGAGTAGCATTGAGTAAGCATTACTCAAAATAGGCAAATTGTTACTGCCAGTAATTGATATAACGTCGATATATATCAATAGAGTTAACCGGAGAAAATCTATAATAACAAATTATATCAGTAAGTTATTATAAAGTTTGGTTATAAATTCCGAGATTAATTTGAAGATTTTATGTCAATTTCGCTACATCGTAATTAGTTAACTACAATTTTTGGTAATGAGAAGATAAATATACGGTAGAGTAATGAAGATATATTTAAGAACGTAGCTAGCTAAGCATCAATCTTGGCGCTATCGGTTTGCAGTGAGTGAGAATTAAAATCATTCAAAGCAAGTTAGACTCTCGAGACAGATTATGCCTGAGATTCCATTTCTTCAATTCTGTTTTTGATGATCTTTATTTCTTCTTCCATCTTATGATACTTCTTATAAGCCTAGTGCGAGTTAAAAATTATTGTACCCTTAATATTATGACTTCTAAGCTATGATGATATGTGTAATATTTTTCAATTACATTTTGTAAAGCACATCTCCCTGATTCAATCGTAGTAAAAGTGGTATCAGATGAGACAAGTCCTACTCCTCGAAGCGATTCATCAACAAAAACCTCTTGTTGATCGGCAATTTTTCTTCTTCCCCAATGATTGGGATTCCTCCATAAATTAATCTATTAATTTAAATTTAACTTCATTATTACTTGTCACATGGATAATTTGAGATGGAATAAGTAGCAAAGTTAATTTAAAATTAGAGTTTGAGCAGTATTTATAGATATGTCGCGTAGAATTTTATCATTATAGGCATTTTTTCAAATTTTGATATGGTACCTTAGGTAAAAAGACCATGAACATGGTAATAGTTGTACAAAAAATAATAAATCCACCAAGAAGTGCAAATTTTATTGTTGGTTGAGGTCCAATTAAAAATGCAGTTAGTGCTCCAATAACACAAAATACTGTAATATTATAAATCGAAAAGCCAATAAACTTGGAATCATTCAGCATGGATATAGTAACTTTTCGGGTCTCATAGGCTAAGAACGTGCCAAATATTAGCACCAAAAATTTGTAACTGCATACCAACCCTAGCCATACAGCAGTGTTCTTGCACGTGCAAACATATGATGTCTGTTTGAAGACAATATCGTGCTTTGGTTCCTATCAAATAGATTAATTATTTTAAATGGAAATCTTTCTTAAATAGATCCTAATAGCATACTTAATCCTTTTTATCTTCGCGATACAGCATCTATTACAAAACAGCTTTTAATCGGTACCCATAAATATTATCAGTATATAGCTCATCTAAAATTTATCAATAGTAAATTATCTACGACGTTTTACGTATTAACATAGATGATTCTATACTTTCATAATAGTATCAAATTAAGGATAGAAAAGGCTCGTGCAGCTTTAGTATCAATTTGTTAATTTTTAATAAAAGTTGGATTTCAAATTTTCGTTAAGCTTAATGGAGTGTCGTGAATCTTTGTGACCTCCTAGCGATAAAGATCGCCAGTGAAGTCGTACTGTGAGGAAATATCAAGAAGGACAAGCCGGACAGTAAAGTCCTAGTATTCAAGCTTTCTCGTTGAAATTTTTGATTTGTAACAGTATATATGCAAGGTTTAATCAATACGTTGTATCTTGAAAGTGTTTTCATCGTGAATTATACACAATTATTAATTTATTACCGTGGTGGTTGATGTGATAACATCAGCAATTAAAGGATCAACGACCGTCCAAATCGTGAGAAGGACAATATCGACTATTGCTAACTGCGATACAACGGCTAGCAAATGCCAGTCTTTGACAATCTAATCAGCATCAATTTAATACGTAGAAAGTAATAATTTTATCAGTTAAACTCTATCACCGCTAACGGAAATATCGACTTGAATAAAACTTCTATAATATCTGTTATCATAGTTAAAGCCTTTATGCTTACAATCCTTTTGGCAGTTTTTAAAGCAAAAATTCTGTACACTCGCCACATCTTAGCAAACAGAGATCCAAAAGCTAATGTAAAACCCAAACATAAGAGCCAAATATTTGCTTGACAGAGTATCGAAAATCCGATTGTAGTTGTAAAATTGGTATCAATTGCCATCATGACCACTGAAACGTAGCAGATGCAGCATCCAATTGCAAACAACGCATTCATACGCGGACTTAATAGCTTAATTTGCCTAGATTAACAGTTAATTTTAATTCAACTTCTTCGCTTAAAGTGAATGATAGATTTAAGTTAAGTGATAATGCAGCTTTAGTATCAAATAGATTACTCAGATGGTTACTAACTAATTATCGATGAGTATAGAAATACATCAAGTTACTTTTATCGAATGTATGAGTATTAACACTGTACTATGAAGATTAAGTTGCTACTCCACTTTTTGAAGTACTATCTACAATCTACCCTAAATTTTAAGAAAAATGTCCAATGGATGAATATACTACTAATTTGAGTATCAGCAAAGGCCACATTTTATGAAAGTTGTGGCTTGAAAATTATCATAAATTGTATTATTAACTTTCGGCTAACTGTATTTAAGATACATGGCAACTTACTTGTGGTTCTGATAATACAGACTGAATGCAAAAAATAGCAAGGATGTCAGTATTCCCAGTATAGATAGAGCTAAGTAGATAATTGTCAGACCCAAGGAAATGTGCAAAGTTTGGATTTTGATGACGGATTGAGAAAGTGGTGGGAAACCATCTGTATTAAATTGCATTAATAAGCGACATTAACATGAGATTTCAGCTTTTAAATTAATTCTTTTAACTGAATAAGAATTTGTTAACAATTTAGCAAAGCTTCTTTTCAGTTCTGATACATTGCAAGCTGAGACCATTTCATAAATTTTATCCTAATCCTTCTTCCATTAATTATCTTGTTATATATCATATTGAGTTCTTATTAATTACAATTGTTGTTATTGGATACAAGTCTCAGTATGGCCTAGAACCGTAGTAAAAGTAACTCACATTCGTATTTCATTTAATGCGTGAGAAAATTATTATGAGATACCTATTTAAAAATTAGTGCCTATCTTACACTAGAAGATAGAACTATTCTTTTTTTTATATTAATGAAATATGATAAACGTCTGACAAGCTGGATCGTGTATTATACTTATTAAAATGCGCTAATTAAAAAATGAGATATTTTATTTAATCGTAAAATAAGCTAGCTAGTAATGATAAGGCTAAGTTTCTGCCACTTACTCGGCCATACGACTTTGTTTTCTGAAAAGATGGTTACACTATCAGTCGCTGCTTTGTAGAGACCAACCGGAACAGTTTTGTTTTGTGACTTTTCACCTGTTAGCAATGATGCAAGATATTTTCAAATTTTTATTAAAACACTACTACACATTTTCTGGAATTCATCCAATAAAATTATCAATCTTTAATAATATATTTTAATGCATTTTGTTCTTTGCATATAGCCAATAAAAAATAATTGCAATCAAATTCGGCAGGTAGTTTTTAGGTTAATTTAGCTTACCTTGAAATTGAAATATGTAGACATCACCAAGCCTATCGGCTCCAAAGAATTTAATTTCTCCCTTTTAGCGTATTGGATATACATCCATTTATGATTTCGTTATAGATCATACAATTATAAATAAAGCAATTCTGATTACAATATGGATAAAAGGAGTCTGGTTCAATCAATGTGATTCTTGTAACTTACCGTTATACCTAAGATCGACATGTCAGCGATGTTTTTAACAATCGTACTACGAATATCGCTGCTTTCATAATTAAATTGAGATAGACTCCTGTTTTGAGGCAGTAATTGCTGCTCCGTTTTATCCAAAGCATGAGCCATTGTCCATACGGCATCGTACATGTAAGCACGTAAGGTATTGGTGGTCGTAACATTATTTAAATGTTGAAATTGTTGATTAAAATTCAGTGGTGACTATGTAGAAGAAATGAAATAGCCAATTATATAAATCATTGATTATATTATCAATATATCTAAAATCAAGCCACAGTTAAGGTCATTTATCTGCAAGAATATTAACAATCTAATCTTTATGTACTATCATCTCAAATTACCTACCCTTCCAGAAATAGTCGGTTCGGTACTAGTTTGCGGGTATGATCGATAAACGTAGAAATAATTTTGTATAACTTGGTAAATTTGATCAGGCGTACATTTCGTGTGAGGCTGCATTTCAACCTCCCACCAGTCATTAGGATACCATCCAACTAATATCCAGACATATTTGGGACCATATAACTTTTGCTTATATGCCTTAAATTAAAGACAGAATACGTTAACTGGTTTGATCAATTAATTTTTTCTCCTGCTATTAATGTTCTATAGTGATTGGCATTATTATATTTGCAACTATTTCATGATAATAACTAATCAATTACAGATAGATAATTACTTAATTTGCGCTAAATGTTCAAAAAAAATTTAAACTACCTTGCAACTAGTGCACAGAGATACTGTTAGTGATTTAATTCTGAAAGTATGACCTTAGCACCTAGGTAGACTTGTAATTGAGGTAATGAAATTGTTTCAAATAATATATAAATACTCATATACATATTAGAATTAAATTCTATTTTAATATTCTTGACTGTCATCTCAATGATGCTTTGGAGCCACTACCCGAATAGTTAAATCTATCTTAAACCTATCACTACTACAAAATTCTTGTCGATACTCTACCCTTGACGTCTAATTTATTTATTCTTATGACTATAATTTATTAATTTACTGTAGAATGTCCGTGAAGCCATTACCTCACATAATACATGTAAAATAACTGGAGCTTGGCCAATGGCATATATAATTCGCATATCTTTAGCCTGAAAGAAAATTTAAGATTCTATTTACAATTAACCAATATCGTTCTATCGTTCTACTATCTTTAGCAAATTATAAACTTCTTAAATTAGAAGATATGATGGTTTGGTTATAAATTCAATCCAATTAGTAACTAATTAATACCATTTTAATGAAAAAGAATGGTATCTACCGATTCATGAAATTAAAATATTGGCACTGTCTACGATTTATTCACTGCCGCTAATAATTATTGTAAACTATTATATTGTTGTAGCATTACCGGCGGAATTAGAATTCATTCACTTACTTTAAGATTGCCTATGACCACGGCAAACTGATCAAGAACACCTTCGGCATATACATCAGTAATATTTTTACTTTTGAAATCACTAACGAGATCGTTAGCCGCCTATGGTAAAACATATGATAATGAGATGTAGAATTGTTTTAGTCAGCTTATTCATCATCATATACAGTATGTCAACTTATACCTATTTAAGGTAAAAGATCTACAACTTGTATAACGTAGCAATAGAAATATTGGTGGTAATACAATTCTTTAACTTTCGAACTCATATTCATTTATTAGCTGAGCTCAAGGAAATACTGATATAGTAGTTAGGGTAAACACATAATTAAACACTAATGGCTCATTTGTTCGATGCAATTTTGCTGCTACGAGTCAAAAATACTTCGGTTTTAAATCGTTTTAAAATAGGAAAATTGTACTTGATAACCATGATTAATCGACATTCATACAGCAAGAATATAAGTGCACAGCATAGGAAATTTAAATCACAATTTAAAATATAAATAAATATACTTGTATTGAATTATGAATATGAGACCGAAACTTGAAATTAAGGGACGATCAATCTGGAACTGAATTTTTATTACAGTTACTGGATGTGTAAGAACAGATAGATTTAGCCCCAAAGTAAGTGATTGCTATAGAGTCAGTCAGTCAAATCAATCTTTGAATTAATTTAAGTAATTGTTTATCGTCACTTAGTTTTATTTAAGAGCAAATGATATTGAATTATTACCGCTGTATAAGCTGTTGCAATCTGATAGAGTACCGCTACTTTAGTCCAACCGTAATGCAAGGAGAAGGCCACACGAGCCAAATTATAACTGATGTCAGATAGAGCTGTTCGGAAAAAGTAAGGAAACTGTTCTCTGTTGCTTAAAATCGGTGAGGTAGAACCATGAGATATCTATAATAAATGAAAACCTCATCTTTTTATTTGTATACTCCTAAAAGGAGTTATTACCATATAATTTTTATTCATTTCGCTATTTTGACATATAAGACTTGGTTAAATTATAAGCTGTATTCGGGTATTGCGTACGACCATAATTTATTATCCATCAGTGATAGCAGTTTTAATGAATGGATATCTCAGTGTAAATTAAGCATAATAGCAATATCACGATTCCATAAATATAGGTTTACTTTATAAAGGCTTTTGATGATAATTATTTCTATTTAAACAATACACGTCAATTTCTATAACTTAAAATAAAGTAGAATAAGTTAAATTAAAGGATTAAGCACCTGTCTTGATTGTGCTACTCAAATTAATAAATTAAAATTTGCAGTAGATATATTAATATTAGACTATAATATACCGTCGCTATCAATTTAAAAATTTTAAATTTTCTTTGCATTATAGTTCCTGAAGGTGTTACCCTTTAGGTCTATTTACCAGCAAAGCAGTCCATGCAATAATTATTATTTTGGTCTTAGACAAGGAGATTTAAGTTATTATTCTAAAATGTAATTGCAACATTGTATGAATATATTTATATATGCTGACCTGTGCTAAATTCCATGATTTAGCCGCTGAAGCTACATATTCTGAACTTCTCGAATTTTGAGCGCCAATTATGCCAACTTTAATTGTTTTTTGCATTATCATGCGTATAAAAACGTCGATTGCGCTAGCCGGATTAAACTAGGAAACGGTATCAGAAAGACACATTTTCATTAGTAAGGATCAAAGTTCCGATACACGATTATTCACGATATAGTATTAACTTGTCAACATCCAAACAAAAATGCCGATCAATATCACCGAGGTATTTTTTATTTCAAGGCCTTATTTGTGGTCGTGGTTTTGTTTAATAATAGAAAATGGTTAAAATCAGCTTGTTTTGAAAATGATATAACCAAAAGCAATATTGAATATGTAAAGCGAAAGGTGCTTGTTGCATAAGGAAATAATCGAACGAAAATGAAGACAGTTTCTTTACTTTACTGAAAATTTTTTTGGAGCAATGCACATATTTACGACAAATGCGGTAGCGGTAGTAGAAAAATGAATGAAGGAAATGATCCTTGCGAAAACTTATATCAAACCTTATTATAGTTGCATTAGATATTAATACTGCTAGCCTTAAAATTTTGTAAAATGCAGCGTTATGCATACTGTTTAACTCTTGTTAGTGCGCTGATAAGTTTATTACCACAAAAGGAATTAATTGCACATTACCTTTGGCGTGAGTAAAAGCTTAGAGAATTGTCAATGTGATAAACTATATATTTCGCCAGAATATTTGCATCAGACCACCCGGTAGTTTTGTAATAGTTTATTTAAAATATGGAACTAATTTATGTAAATTGAAAGATAATTTACTATACTGAATAGAAAGTAAAACTATGTAAAAATTACTTGTTCCCTACAGGAGTAAATTATTATATTTAATAATCTCCAGAGGCAATACTAATCAAATAGGAAGAATGTTACCAATTGCACAGATGAGGCCTTCGCAAATTCATAATTATACTAAATTAGATATTATTGTCTACATCTCTATAATGTAGCTGATCTTACCACTGACTTTTAGATCTTACCTTGCTGAAACCAATTTCTGCTTTTAACTCATATTGACTTAAAATTGTATCATTGGAATTGATATCTGACAGCGCTAACTTGACGGTTTCAATTAAATCAATTCCACTAGGACCTCGAGTACTTAAAGGAACCATAACACCAATGTATAGTGGTTTCTTTACTGCTGATGCCAAAGAATTCGATTGCAAAATGGAGATTTTGAGTAGAAATACCAAAGTTATCAAAGAAATATATCTTGCCAATTTCATCGTTTGAGATGATCTTGCTAGGTAGTAAAATTAAAGTAAGATTATATTACCAGCTTAAATTTTCACTATTTTAGCCAAAAGTAGATCAAATTTTAGAAATAGAAATTACTACGAAAACTGATTCAAATTATATAGTGTTGCTTGCAATGTTGTTAAACTACTGAAATTTTACGACTATGGATATTTCGATATTACTGTAGATAAATTCGGTAATTACTTTAATCGAAAAATTACCGTTATGAATTCAGATTAATGAAATTGTTGCTGGTCACAGGATCTATCAAGATAAAATTTAGCTAGGAATTAAACGTTGGTCGACAGATTGTATTCTATTAATGGCAATTTTGAATTTCGATCAGCTAATTTATTCTATCCTATTTATCAGTACTATTTATCGAGACGGGCCTTCTACTTAAGAATAATAATAATGGATATTTTTGTCATTGCATAAAGATTTGACTAGGACTATTGTATCAGGGTAGTTTCTGAAAATAACAAAATGTGAAAATCATTTCATGCCTGCAGAGCAGGTGCACGATTTATTTTCTTCTTAACTTGGAATCAATTATCGATTATAGAATAGAAAGTTAAATTTGATTTAAATAGTTTAATTCTTATTTCTATCTGGTATTTACGTATCAATGTTGTCTTGATTTCTAAACAATAGCCTACATTAAAATATTGATTTAAAACTTTGGATATGATATTTTTAAAACTGAATCTGAATAGAATTTGTAAAGATAAGTACAAATTGAACATATCACATACCATACGATCTAGATATTATGAATTAAAGCACAAAACATTAAGTAAAGACCGTCGGTATAAATTGCGGAGCCCAGATAAAAGCAATCCAATTAAATTTAATAGAGCCATATAACCTTTGCAATAAAATTAATTAATTGCATGCATTAATTTTTTTTATAGATATCTTAAAAGGATAAAATTGAGGATAAGTCACCTACTGAAGGTGACAATTTGTGTTGATACTGAATACAGCATTGTAACTCTCTCTTGTGTTATTGTCTCATTCTTAAATAAATAGGTATTTGACCCTTTGATTTTATCCGCGCTTTCCCTTTACGTTCTTTGCCTTATATATCTACTATTAAAAGTGGTCGAAAAGTTAATGATGGAAGCTTAGCGAGATTTGATGCTTACATTCATTAAAATTCTGGAAGTTTTATTATTACTTTTTAATGAAAATGTTATTGTTATTTTGCTGTCTTCATATATGTAGCCTACTACTTAGATGAATGGATCTTAATTATAAGCTTAATTTAGTATATAATATTTGTTCAATCAAGTTTAATAAAAACAAAATTACTTTCAAAATAAAAAAAAATAGAGATATATTTAAGGGATGAATAGCTGCTATTCTTTACAATCGATCTTTATATAAATATAATTGCGTATGTACGTACGTAAACTCGTACTAATCAAATGGAGGCAATATTTATTCTTCATAACGTTAGATGATCGATATTAGATCATACCAAATCAGCTTAAACTCATTATCTACTATAAATATCTAGTAACTATGATTAGATCAATGCTATCAAATAAGCAGATTGCTTAGAGGTGATTCTATTTTTAATCTACTTTCCATTACAAAAAATGGTATCGCCAATATTTTCCTATTATTCTTTATGAATATGGAAACGATATCATAAAGACTTTAATTTAATACTTTGATAAACACATCCCAAACGTCCCTTTAATAATATTTTTATTCATATCACTACAAAGGAGTAGTTTTTCACACAATCTTGGTCTGGTCTCCCTTATCTCTTTAATTAACGACGCTTTTTTATCAGATTTCGAAAATAATCAAGAGATTACAGTTCTCTGGTTGCCTGTTCGGTCATTGAAAAACGCAGATAATTACCAGTAGCTTTCTAAATTTTTTTGCTAGAATAGCTGTATCATAAGCGCCAAAAGCTTGATTATTTCTTTTACGAAAAATTATTAAAGTGTTCAATTTAATATCTTTTATGACAGTGTACAATATAAATTTAATTTCTATTGACTATACACTAAATGATGTTTAATATTTAGCTTTTTGTACTCTTTGTTCGATGAAGAGGATTATGATCTTGTTGATTTTCTTTTATTTATACAATACAAAGAAAATTGAGCCTAGCAACGGTTCCAAAGCGACAATTTACGAGTTTGACTCTATTCAATAATAACCGCAGATCAGCAGATTGACCTTAAGACACTTTAAAGTGGAACTATTATTCTCAGAATAGTCGATATAGCCTGGCGGTGACATGAAAGCTTGCAACAATGAAACATTAAGATGTTCTCATTACATTAATTAATATAGTTCCCTCTTGTTTTATACCGTTTTGTAGGTTTTAAATTAGTTTAGGAGAGTAATTAATATTATGTTGCTAAAATCATCAGAAATTGAGATATTTACAAACTAGAATTCCTACAAATTAATAATTGACATTAGTGAATAAGAGCCCAGTTTGTAATTTCAGGCGATACAACATCAAATTGAGACGATGAATCTAAATTTCAAGAATAGGGGCAATACCGGAGTATATTTCAGCTTCAGAGATTTAGACAATACGATTTCTGAGATGAGATATCAGCTAGTTATCACGCCCTGTCCAATATTGCATCTGTGAATATATTGGTTTTAATAAATGTGTAATCATTTTTTGCATAGCATATCGTCCTATGTTAAAATAACATATTACATAGCATTTAAGGGAGTGAGCGTGTCCTCACTTCGTAAGCTGTACAGGCTAAGCTCTCGGCATAAATACCATCGAGTTTTACATTTTGAAGTCATTATGATATAAAGCGCTTCTAAGTTGTTTTTTACCGACTTTCAATTGTATTTTATGTGATCAGCACGTTTGTGATAAATATAAGCCTTTAAATCATAATTAAATCTTACTGCATTAATTTGACTTATTTTCTTAAATTAATACGAATTTTATAATAATCAACTTTACGGAATATTTTACTGTAGAGTCAAACTTAAGATAAATTACTACTTATGTTGTTGAAGAAGTTACAGTTGTGAGTTTTTGTAATGACTGATGTTATTTGAGCTCTATTGTCTTTCATATTATAATATTTCATTTTATTACTAGGTAAGAGCTTTATTATGATAAAGCTTTTAGTTTGGCAATAATTGAATGCCAATTCTCATATTCTATACTTATTCAATGCTGTCCTTACCAACAATTATATTTATATGAATTTATCCTAAGATACTATCAGCTACGTAATCTGCTATCCATCAGTAATAATAGAAATCCAGAGTTGTCGTACCATCTTATAAAGTCTTTCCGAATTGATAATTCCATCAGAATACTAAATGATCTTTGATCAATTATGCAGATATCCTACCGAAATGAGCCGCTAACCACGACTTAAAATGAGTTTATGATTTATCAAGGATGATAAACAATTCAAGTTTAGGGCTCTCGAAGTAAATAATAAAATCTGTAAATGAAATATGGATAATTTAGCAAAGGTGACCTGTAATTATTTTTCACCAGCAACTGTCTTCTGTCGTAATATAGTCAACTTGGACAACAAGAATGAGCCGTAAAAGACTTTGGAAAGCCTTTACTATCTACCCAATTGCATTTTTATTTTGGGTTACTAAGAAAATATTTAATATCATGTGACATTAGGACATTTTATAAGAAAATTATGAAGGCTGTCTTTTCACAATACCACACCTTCCTGGCGTACTCATCTGCTGTACTCGGTCTATAAAAACCCTTTGTAATACTAGTTAATATACGAGGTACTGTCAATTTTTGCTTACGTAATTGTTAATTTAATCTCTTAAGATGAGTAATCTAGTTCCGTTTGCGGCTGTTTAAAGGTAATTTAACCAGTAATATATGCAACAACAGGGTCTATGCCTATGGATTTTACGATTATCTTCTTTTATTTTATTTACTAATTACATAATTAATATATATATTATATTATTATTGATATCAATATCCCATTAGCAGGAATACGAATTAAATCATAGGAAATTTGAACAAAATGATCGAAAGGCCCAGTGTAAAAATGCAAATGAAAGCGATAGCATTTTATCAGGATAGATTAAATGAACCAACATTTATCCTGACAAATATGTTAGTAAGTGTGTAACGCCTTTTAATACGTTTTCGAAATAGTAATGAAGCGGTGCTGCTAGAATTCGCTAGACACAATTATTTTATGTTGGTCGTTCCAAAGTTGGCAGTTCAAGTAATTTGCTTATTTATGCTGCTAACGGAGAGACAGGAAATGTAGTTTTAAACACGTTTTACTATATATAATACGTGTAATATATATCTAATAATAGTAGGTCAAGAATCAATTTTTCCTTTTCAAATTATAAATCGCACACTGTGAGTTATAAAATCTCTGTTGGGCAGGTACCGGTAACGAATCATAAATATTTAGTAGTAGTTTTAGAAAAAGTATACAGTATCTGTTCATTGTGAACGGGTGTCGCAGCTAGTTAATTAATTTATTATACGGAAAAAAAGTTAAAAATGTTAGCTGTTTAGAAATCGAATGGTGGTGGCAAGACAAACGTTAGCCGCTATCATACTTTTGAACTTGCTTGTGACCTGATTTGCTGTTAATACATTTCGATTTTTTCAATTTTCAATTTGGAAGGAATTTTTAAGAATGAAACAACACCTAGATGCATTATGCCGGTGTTAATTTCTATTTAAGTTATTTTACTATGGTCGAATAATATTCTATGATTGAGTCTTTTCCCCAACAAATTTCAATGGCCACTTACTATCGGTTTTGCCCAAATAATTAAATCGATTTATTCATTTTTAATTCAATATTTAAAATATCTATCTAAAAATTATTTATCTTACAAATTAGGTATCGCTTTATTACACTGCTTCATTATAGCTTGTTGATATAGCTAATCAACGGAGCGGTCAAGGAGTAGATGATGATATCAATCATTAATATCATGCTCTTAAACATTTTATCACACTATATTATGATAGTTGAACATCCAGGATCAGTATTACTTAAAACCAGTATTTTCAAAATGATCATTGCAATAAAAGATATATTTATAGTTCATTAGAAAACAATTGAAAAGTTGATGGCTTCGTTTATCGTCATTTAAATTCTCGCAAACTATAGATGGCTCAAATCGGCTTTTACGACTGTATTTTAGAAAGTTATGTAGTTAACTGTTGACATAGAATTGATGCTGAAATATACTGTGCATGAATTCATTTCCGGCGGCTATCAGCAGTCTGCACCTTATTATGGTAAATAGTCAGATATAAATTAAGCTTGGTGAAGTTTGGGAGGTATTCCGACTGGTGTGTCGAATTTTAGACCGCATTTAATTTGATATATGGTAAATTATGTACTTCTATCTCGATGGAGAGACTGTGTGTTGCAACCCTGATTAGTACAAAAGATTTGTCAAAATCTTGAATATACTCATATTAATCCGATTACTCTTCTCAGAATTTTCAGCCTTTGTGCGAACTGTACTCGCATATAGGAACTTGGATTTTCGGTTGCTTGATTATTTGGTACAGTTTTCTTTACGGGACGACTACTGCACACTTGTGAGCAACTACTTGTTTATTTTACAATTAAACGCGCTTAAATTCTTCAAGTTGTCACACTTCATTCTAGTTTCAAATGCTGTACACGTAAATTAATATTCTACAAGTTCCAACAATAAGTAAGAATAGATTTGCAATAACTAAGTTGAGATGCAAGTGTTGTGCAACCTAGGTAGTTGTAGGTTTTCAACTGATCAAACTCGTACTTCTTCTTCGTCTATATAGGGTTTACCCGACAGCAAATTAACTCTCAATGGTGTATATATATATACTTTATAGCATACCAGCGGTCTACCCATCGCGTTGACTACGAATTATGAATCATCACGTTATTGGGATACCACTTACCAATAAGTGAGAGTTCTCATAGTTGTTTCAGTAGACGTGTTCGGTGCATAACAAAATTCTGATTGTGGTGGATCTTGAGGTTGACTAGTTGATCTTTTTCATAAAATGCAGCTCGCGCTTTGCTAGTAGTTCATTGACTTTATTGAAGGTTGTATTTTACATACATTAGCAGAGTAATTAAATGATCATATGATGCATTGCCGAAGAGGTCTTAACACTTTTTTCATAAGATTCTAGCTGTAATAGTGTTACGGAGCCATGCACCGAAATATTAATTGCTATGTTAATTAAAATATCTCATTTAAATTATTGTTTGCTCCAGTAGCTTATTAGATATTAATGTTTATTAATAAGTACTTGTTCAATATTGTTGACGTGTCGGAGCTAGCACGCTTAGTCTGTAAACGTTAATTAATATCAACTTAAGTGTAAGATCAATTATTTTGCAGAGCCTTGAGGCTCTAGTTGCTATACTAGGATATGTATACTGTACAGTGTAAGCCGCTATTTCAAGAATATTCACAAGTGTACCATCGGCGAGACTATAAAAAGCGGAGCACTAGCTTAGCTTCTCAGTTCCAGTTAGTCATTTGCAGGATCTTTTGACTAATATTGCTAAGAATGTTCTTATGTTTTTCTTTAGTACATTTTACGACTAAGGTTAACGAAAATAAAGTATTTAAACCTATTACTCAATAGTAGCTTATTTGTGTAGCTGAGAGTTAATTCAATTATGATAGGTCCCTAAATTAGTTGGGAACACAAGTACTAGTGAAGATAGTGTTTAAGACCCGGTTTCTTGTTACAAAGGAGATTTGTAACAAATAGTAACAGATCGTTTTATAACTTAGTAGCGTCGTACTATACAGATATTGAAGTTTACTAAATTCCTAGACACGATACAAACAAGTATTTTGATAACATAATATGTTGATAATTTGTAATCTATTATTATTGAGCAGTACAGTAGCAGAGTATCATTATGGATCACCTATCGTGCAGTAGAATATTGGGAAAGTTAACGATATACCACTAGAATAAATTCTTCATCAGTCGGGCTAGTCGATATTATGTCCATTCTTTTAAGTTGTTCTTAGATGTTATTGCTGATGTTAGTCTATGATTGCGATTATAAATTCATTTATTGATTATTTTTTTGCTGACGTGATATTCTTAATGCTTACTAACATAGAAACTTATGGTTATGTTTCACATAATAGTTGACTAGTATATATTGTAGAGGGGATCAAACTAGAATAAAGGACTTTCAGTCATTATAAAGTAAGGTTAGATTACTCGTTGGTAACTTTCAATATGAAAATACTTTAACTTGGAGTCACAACAGTCTATAAGCAAGAAGAAAATAATTGTGTAGACTAGACTCGACGGTATTGTAGAGCACATTATATAAAAAAAGAAATGTTTCGGCAATCTCGAAAGATTTACCGTTGATTCTCCCAACTCCGTTCCACATAGTATAAGATTGGACAGTTGATCAACAGTGTAGAAAAGCTTTCTACTGCATCTAACCGTAGTTCTAATTGATCAATAACTGTAAAAATGAATCAGGAGTACGGTATTGGTTTATTTAACCGTGAGCCTATCACTACCAAAATTGATCAATCGCACAGATAGGACTGCAACTAGTAACTGTACTATACACAATTTAAAGTGGCGTGCTAGGTAAGCACCAGCATGGACTTCTACATGCATAAATCGGGCATCTACAAGTCCATGGCAACGGTGAGATAAATTTATGTTGCTGCCGCACTTCATTGCAGTATTTTACTCTACTTTACAGAATAAATTGCGTTGGACCGAAGTAAATACTCTCATACGGTGTCTTGAATAGTTTTACACTGGACTGTCGACTTTTCTAGCCCTGTCTCAAAGTGCTTGCACATCGCTAGTTGTCAATTTTACTAAAGAAAACTTAGAAATTTAGTGATCATGTCTCAATCATCGTCGTACTACAAGACAAGAGTCATCATTTTGCAGGCCCCACCGGCTGCAAATTGGCTATACTTTGGCTTAAATGGCGCTGCTACGTCTTCGTTTTCAATCAGAGTGCAATGTCTAAGACAGCTTCGTATGGCCATAGTAACGCTCGTTGGACGAAAAAGTCAAGTGAGCATGCTTCCCAAATGATGGTCTGGCAGCGCATCAGAATGTCCGGACGTCCGTATCCACACCGTAACCCCTACAGGTCAACAGAAATGGACGGCATAGTCAATAACGAACTGGCCATTTCACTGTGGTTTGGGTACTGTACTAAGGGAAGATAGTTTAACAAGTCCATCAAGCATCGGCAATTTTATTTATTTACTTGACAATCAACGTCATTTCCACTATTGGATCGAAGATACCGAATAGGAAATTGATTAATTGCACTTGTGGGAGTGTTACCAATTGCTTTGCTTATTGAAGTTAAAAGTCTTTCAGTCTTCGGCCTATCCGTCAGTACAGAGAAATTTCCGAGATTTCCCTTTAGCTAATAGTACCCAACGTGTCAAGATTGAGATCGACTACTGGAAATAAATCAACCAACAGGTTCCTCTCCAAATAAAAGTAGGCAACATCAATTAGGATTCAGCAATTGTTGTTCTTGTCATCGATTCAAGTAAGATTGTTTGCTTTGTGACTTCAAGCCTTGCATTGCTTATTTCTTAGCCAATGAGTAAATCAAATTTGAAATTTTTCCAGTACCTTGATGTTCATTCAATTGTACTGTTCTGTAATACTCCAATCCTTGTCACATTTTAAATGAATTTACACGACGTTATCCACGTTTCATTAGCAATCGACATAATCATTTCAATATTCAAGACAACATGGAAGGACGCCTATTATGACGGTAAGATACAAATATTGTCAATTGGATGAACGAACGATACTTTGGTTGCAACTATTAAATTGTGTCAAACAATCAAGAGAGTTTGCTTATTTGAAGATTTTAATATGTTCGTTATTATTGAACTTGCACTCCTTTTTTATAAATTAAAGTTTGCAAGTATTCTGTCTTTACAGTAAACACTGCAGAAGGGAGTGTTACACAGTGTGGAGCTTGTGCACTTATTTTTGCTATAGTTTGACATGCATCTTGATGATATTCAACCTTAGATGCACTGAATGATTTCGTCTTGCTCTCTGTATGATTATTTTTGTATATTTTCATATTTCCTACCAGGTAGCAAAGTTGATCATTTTGTATACTTGTGATAGATCATACCAGCACAAGATTGATAATTAATCGAAAGTATTCAAATCGCTTGAAATAATTCTGCCTGCATTATGGATGGTTATGGTAAGCTACTAGTATCGAAGTGTTTTAGTATACGTATGGTCTGAAAGTGCCGTCATATCATACTCTGATAATATCAGTCGAATTTGGTGCTGTGATATTTCACGCACTGTGATTTGTAGTCCTTCTGTATAAGATTTTATGTTGTATTTGTAAATATGTGCTTATAACGAGACTATCCAACGATGGGCAAACACTATTCTTTCGTTTTCCAATTTACAAACGTATATGAAACGGTTTACCGATACGTACTGTACTTGCCGGTTCTGGTTATCCTGTAACTAATGCTTATTATTTTAATACAGATGCTAAACAGCTGAACAACGATAATAACCAGGTTAGTATGTGTACGAGTATGCTAAAACTCTGAAGATGTCATGCCGTCGTGAATAATGTCATTGAAGGATTAAACCTGATTTCTAATAAAGTTTAAAGTTTAATGTTTACTCTACGCGAACTATATGATGTGTTTAAACTAACTTCCTTATACACATATTTCATCATAATTGTACGCCAACAAATGACCATTTGTAACTACGTTATTACTTTGCCGAGCTATTAATGCATTGGATACGTTTACACACTTAACATACTTTAGTAAAAAGTTATGTAGCTATTATACCTTAAACCTGAGCTGAAGGGTACCATTTACCGATTCGAAATTTAAATAAACTAGTTTAACATTATTACAACAATTAAATCGATTATATAATTATACAAGTAATAAACTACTTAAGGAATCTTTAATAACTGATTAATTATAGCATATGTATTAGTTTTAACACTTATTGTTGCTGTCTTTAGAATTCAAATACAGTCGAAAATGAGTTAAGCTTGGCTTTGCAGGTACAGTAATGCAGTACTGCAAATATTCTCATGCAAATAATTAGAATTCATTTTAATTAATTATTATTGTAAATTATGGCTTACATATACCGATGTGGTAATTTTTTCTATGATCCTATTAAATATATGCAGAATCTATGGTCAGCAGCATCATCGGCAAATTTACTAGATCAACTTAATCAATTAGAGTAAGTAGCTGAATAACGATATTATTTCTGTGAATATTCATCATATTGATAGTGTAACGTAATTTAGATATTGTTGTGAACTAAATCCCGATTTTGCCTGACAGGCAATTTAATTTCCTTAGTAATCATGAACAAGATTTGCTAAATCATAACTTTAGGTAAAATTTTTATTATAAAATTGTTGAATAATGATCTAAACTTAAGCTTATTAATTGTATTTGTAATTGCTAATAGATATGATTTAATACCAAAGCTACTTAATATTTTTCAATGGCATAATTGGTGAGAAAATTCCCATTTGTTGATGCATCTTTTTACGTTTTTTTATGACATTAACACTAATAACTGAGTTTAAAATCATAGCTTTGAAATACAGCTTGAAGCAATGCAGGTCCTTGCGCTGCTAGTAAAGCTTGATAGTCTGAGCCCAATTTTAACTAAACTTCATACAGGTTAGTACCCAAATGTTTCTTTCAAGTACTGATATCGTTCAAGGACTTTTTCATCAATACATCGATTGTTCAATCTATGATTTTTGCTGTAGATGGGATTTCATTATTAGTTAAATTACTTTCGTCGCCTTATGATGAACTTGCCATAAAATCATTGCGCGTTCTTCAAAATTACACATGTAATACTTGATTTGATGATCAATTAAAGAGCGGTTTTCTAATATAATGTATCGTTGATAGCATGTGATACTGATTGCATGTAAATTTTTAATTTTGCTAATTAGCGTATGAATACGTTTTAAATTGTGGCTTAATCCAAGAATTAGCTAAAGTTATAACCTTGAACAAATCAGTAAGGAAGATTTAAGAGATGTGTAGTTATTTTTTTGCGCTTAAAAGTTGGTAAGGGTCTAAAGTTTAAATTTTTATATATAGGTACAATTCCTTAGAGCGGCTGCTTCGGCTTTGAAGCTAATAGCTCGAGGAGAAGCTTCGTTAAGAAATGAAGTTGTTATTGACGTAAGATTATGGTTGTCTGGGATAGATTGATACCTCATTACGATTGAGCTAAAATTTTGTTCTAATTTTGAATCAAGTTACTGGGTATCGTAACTGTCCTTATACAATTTGATGATATTGAGGTATATTTAATGTGAATAAAGTTTTTCAATTATTTTAATAATGGATTGTTACAGTATTTTTTAGTCAGTTGTAATCAAAATATTAATTACCATGATTCTTGACGTGTCATTATGGTTATTATAGCTTATTTGTAACATTATATGGACATTAAAGTACTTAACAGATTATAGGGATGAAAATGTTCAGGTATGATACCTTCAACTTACATACGTTAGATGATATTATTCTGTATATGTATACATATATATAATAGCTGGAGATGAAATTTTGGAGATAAATCTTTCAAATTGTCCACTTCTTTTAATGTATATTGTCCTTAGTGTTTCGTTTAACTTTTATTTTATTTTTACCTGCATATTTTTGTTATTTTCAAACAGAATGCAATTGATGCTAGAGTTATTCCACGAATTTTTGATATACTTGCAAGTGGATCACCTGAATTATCTGTAAATTACCCTTAATCATTCTCTTACTTACTTGTAAAATTTAAGAAAGTCTTATGACACTAGTAATGTAATAAAGTGTTAAACTAGCACTGCTACTTATGCTAAAAATCATATTATGTATTTGGTATTCTTTATAACTGTAGACACCAGCGTTGAAAACTTTAGGAAATGTAGTAGCCGGTAATAGTAAGCAAGCTAAGGTATAAGTGGTATATTTGCACGCTTCTGGGAATAAAATTTTTACTAATGGGTTGATATGCAAATGTGTAAAATGGCTTTTGAATTCATTCTAATAGTTTGTGGTTGATATGAAATTGTTACCGCTATTGAAAAAGTTGCTAACAAGATCTGATAGCTTGCAACAAAAAGTGAGTTTTAAAAAATTCCCAAGTTGATCTACAAATTTCTCACCATTGTAAAGATTAACGCTGGCAGAACTCAGATACTTACACTAAAGGATGAATTTATTTGTGTGGTGTATGTCAATCATAGGAAATTTTTTGGGTGTTTTCTAATGTTGCGGTAGATGAATCTAGATTGCTTCAGGTATTGCTTATAACTTAGGCATAAATAAAGCTGTAAAATGCTCTACGTTGGCTTTACTGATTGATACTCTTGTCAGCTTTTGCTAACTTTTACGTTTTCTTACATAGCAACTTATAAATGAAGGAATAGTTTCGATGATGCTTAATTATATACAAGAGGTAAGTCACTTAATCTATTCAGCTGTCATATTGAAATATATTATCTTGGTTATTGTGATTTATATTTAAATAATTAGGAATCAGTAGTCAGTAACGAAGCAATATGGGTAATTTCTAATGCGATTCAGTATGGAACTGAAGCACAGGTTTGTTGATTTCTATTTTTTTTCTCAAAAGTAAGGGAATTATGCCGAATCTAGAAAGTTCTTTATACGATAAATGTATCAATAGGTGTTGCAGCTATTGGAAAATTATAATCTAACGGAATTTTTATGCAATACCTTATTAAAATTTGAAAATTCACAGGTACTCTTTTTGAGTTTATCACCGATACTACACATGCACAGTACATATTGGTAGATAGGTGTTTATAAATATATAGTTTTATAACTGAATCTTTAATTGTTCAAGATTTTAATACTTGTTTTCAATATGTAATAGTTCTGTGGCTTTTTTTTATGACGATTTAAGGTTCTATACAACGTTATTGTTGCTATGAGTGCGTTATTAACGAAAATCGAGGTTTGAGAATCGCACTGTTTGCACTGGTGGTTGCAGTACTTATATAATTTAAAAATTTTTTGTACATAGAGCGCCAGTTTCTCTCATTGATATAGTATAAATTAATTGATGATAGCATTGTATTAAATATAATTTAGGGATTCCCGGATCTATCCGAAACATTACAAGCAAATGGTCAGGAATTTTACTTCCATTATTTTGTTGATACGCTCTTGTTTATTGACGGCTAGTTGTATTAAATAATTAGAAAGAGTTACTATACTCTATTACACTAATGTTCGTTAGTTGTTCCAACAATAGTTTCAACATCTTTGTACGTATAACAGGTTATTATTTTGATCATTGATTATCACATTACAGATCTAAAAATTAAAAATTTTTGTAATTCGTATTCATTAGTGAGTTACTTTGAAATCTAATTTATGATCGACGTTTAAGCACACTCCTTTTACAATAATTTTTTTGATTTTGATTTTCTATGCTAATTTTTTGTTCCTTCGGGTCTATAGTTTGGTACTTTAGTCTCTAAGTATATAATAGCTTTCAGTACATTATACAAGATGATTGTAAGATATATCTAAGAATGAAAGTAGATCACTCCATTGTGCTTGTGTTTAATAGCCAAAATATTGTATGAATGTACGAGTATGATAGCGGCAACCCATTGCTCAACCCAAACACAGATAGGATACTTGTCATCAATTTTCAAGAATCATATCAATTCGATAAATTTTGTAATAATCTATTTTATAATTAATATTTCTTGTTTCAGTTTTGCAGAAGATTGAATTTTTGAGTAATCATCATCATCAATCGTGGTTAAATCTTCCAGCTAATCAACTATTGGTAATAATAAATGGAAAGTACGAAAAGCAAAAACAGTCCGAACTATGCAGTAAATATGATATTGATGACCTTACATAAAGCGGAGTTTTCTGCACTAGTAATTGACTTAATACTTAAACACTGTTATTCAAGATTATCTTTCACATGGAAATATTAGAAATATTAATTGAAATAGAAACAATTAGGTGGATTTTGTAAAGTTTTTTATTCAACATAACAGCGAATTTGTCGAATGTTCATAACAACATTTTATTAGGGATTCAGTAATCAGTGATTACTGTGCAATGTTATCTATGCAATAGTAGCAACCTACGATGTTGAGATAACAAACTCTTATTACGAAAGTTAATAGTATTTAATTGTTGTATATTAGTTATATAAACATGTATCATACTTGTAATATTGTTGGATGATGTCACAGGTCGTGCTGTATGTTAACGGAATAACGTCAATCGTTTTAGTTGATGTATTTTGATATGAAATTATTTAAAAATGTGTTTAGCATGAAATAAATTGTAGGATGCAGGTCTATGAACTGAATGGGTATGGGTATTTTTCTATAGTATGGTATGAATTTTTTTAAGTCCTCCTTGTAAACAAACTTCCATTCTAGTTAACATAGGTTATTCGACTTGGCGGTATCCTCTATTATAGATTAGCATAGCATGAACTTTCGATGATACAAGACTATTCAAAGTACTATCGCAGTATCGATGTCGCTTCTGCACATGTGTTGTATTCTTCTAAGAACTCTATTCTAGCAGTACTTCATAGTTCAAGAAAAACAAGAAGGAGGTCCTTCTCTTTTGCTTTTAGTGGTCCCAAACTGGATGTAACATGCTCGAGCTCGCACAGTGCGCAAATATAATGATGATTGTTGAATAATTTATTAATTAATTCACAATTTGGCTGTTCAATATCCAATCATTTGTGCGACTGGATCATTCAATAGATAGCTACCTTTACTTACAAAAACAAACACTACTAGAGAAAATGCAGAAGGCATACAATTTTACAGCTTGGAAAGTAAATGTTGGGAAGGATTTTGCAGATACCTATTGCCGGTGTGCGAGCTAGAGACTTTCTCTAGCGCAGCTATCGGAAAAATCTTGATTTCTACAGCATAGTGTACACTGTACACCATACCATACAGGATAGCCGCACCCCTACTGTACCATACGATATCGTATCGCTACACTCAAGAGTAGGTTTATAGTACCGTTAGATCATTTAAGACCGGCGATACTGGTTCGGACTAGTTCGGACCGGTTCGGACCTCTTCCAGTACTGTATGAAGTCAGGGATCGTTCTTTCGTGGATACGGACAGAATTTGCACACTCCGGACCGACACTTGTCTTGGTAAACAGTCAAAACATTCCGATCAAGTGGAAAACATTTCTTTACTGCTTCCAAGTTCAGCCAGTTTGGACGCCGATTGAAATCTTCTTCTGTGACGTTAAGACAAAAATCCAATCAGCAATTTATTTTTCATCTCACGTTGTGGCTTTGGATGAAGTAAATGATAAAATGAATCGACAAATTGATGATGATGATAAGAGTGAAGATGATGACGTGATCAATGAACACCGTCTTGTCAATAACAGCAATAGTGGTGATGGCCGATCGCTAGAGTCTAGAAATAATCCGTTATTATGGATTGGATCTTCGGAGAAGCAATTTTATCGAGCTGAAAATGCAAATCAAGAGGATAGCATGAAAGCTAAGTTGAATGCTTGCTATCGAGATGCTGTTGTTCAGGGGCTGAGTAATATTAACAAGGTAAAGTGGCGAAATGCCGGCTTGAAAATGCGATCGATCATACCCACCATGATATTTTTATTGTACGATTGATCTTGATGATGTTGTGTAGACGGTAAAGAAAGAATGAGTCTATGACATAATCTTGATTAAATCATGTTAATACTGTAAAGAATCGAATGGCGTAAATTCACTTAAAATTGTAATTCAATCGATAACTAATTTATCTGTGATTGTGCTATTACTGATTAAACAAGGATGCATCGTAGTTGGATTGAATTAACTTTTTCCAAGTACTGTACAGTAGGCGTAGAGCCCGCGCTACTACTTTCTCTTCATACAATTCTCCTTACACATTGTAATGGTCAATTTGATAAGTGCCAGTAGCTGTGGATTATTTGACTTGTTATTGCTATACCTACTTGAAATGATGTTGAATAGGCAGACGTATGATAAATACTGTAAAAGTAGTACTAATGTTAAAAGATACATACAGTACGATGACTACAAATGCAATAGCTATGTCAATCATAATAACTATAGTACTAGCAATTGAATCTAATGAATACTCAACCTACTTAAAACTTATATTGAATAGATATAAGATAAGGTAGAAGTCGTTCAGTTTTAGCTTATTAAGTATTGACTGTTGTAGGAGTAATTAAACCTAACGAATGCTGAAACTGATTAAATTTTATATTGGATAGACATAGGATAATATAGAAGCAGTAAAGTTTTAGCTTATTCATGATTGACTATAGTACTAGCAAATGAACCTAGCGAATGCTGAAACTACTTAAACTTATATTAAATAGACATAGGTTAACTTATATCGAATAGATGTAGGATAAGGTAGAAGCAGTAAAGTTTTAGCTTATTAATCACTGACCATAGGACTAGCAATTGAATACTGAAGCTATTTAAACTTATATTGAATAGACATAGGATAAGGTAGAAGCAGTTAAATTTTAGTTTATCAAGTATTGACTATAGAACTAGCAATTAAACCTAATGAATGCTGAAACTGATTAAACTTATTTTGGATAGACATAGGATAAGATAGAAGCAGTAAAGTTTTAGCTTATTAATTGTTGACTATAGTACTAGTAATTGAACCGAATGAATCCTGAAACTACTTACTTTTATTGAATAGACATAGGATAAGGTAGAAGTAGTAAAGTTTTCGCTTCTTAATTATTGCTATGCGTTCATGTCATAAGTGCAGAGGAGAGAGATGGGCTATGGAATTATAATCTCAAATAATCTAAACTAGGGTTTTATAGTAAAGTTGACTTGTGCGCTAGGTGGAATGAATAAGTACTGAAAATACTCTTACTGATATTGTATATTGAATCGACAAATGAGAACTGCAGCAGAAGATATCGCGAGATAAGCCAATGGTTCTTGCCACACTTACGTTTGATAAGTACAGTAAAAATAGGAAAATAACTATGGGTTAGGTTCATGATAATCATCGCTGCTCATATCTTTTACTGATATATAACGAGCTGGGCCTTAGTACAGTGAAAAAGAGCATTGGTAATATTTTATAATTGGACAGTATTTAATTTAAGTATGATATTAACAAGTATATCGAATCGATAATCTTAATAATTAGCTTACCTTGGCTACGGAATAGATTGCTAGACACGAGCTTTGAATAAGTAACTGGCGATCCATGAGTACGAGCACGTATCATAGGATATTCTATTAGAATGCTCAAATTAGTGCTGAGTTGAATTAAAAACGTTCTCCCTGTGATGTAAAATCGTACCGTGGACCTTTTTGTACTAGCACTAAATATTGGATACAATACATACTTAGTGAGTTATTACTTTCTATAGATTAAAACAACACAATTTTTGTTCCAATAAGGAATAAGTTTATATAAAACTAAAAACTAAAGTAAGTGTTCCTACTTGAGCATCACGGTAAGGTAAAACGGGCCTTTACCATACTTATAATTTGCTATTTATTCAACCTGTCAATAACTAGATTACTGTACGACGGTAGTTTTAGCGAAAGCGTAATGATAGCTGTTGTTTGATACCTATTTTATTTTACCATACTGTATTAGTGAAGTAAAGTTCAGGCGTTTCGGCAGCCCTTTACCTGAAGCGGTTATTGATTAATTTTATAAACCTATTTCCCCTTGTAGCGCCGACAAAATGGACACTATGTCCCTATATTACAATATCGAAGAAAAAGGGTTATTAGAGACAGAGTATTGGTAGTACTTGTATAGTCGATGTCTTTATGTTTAATAAATTGCATTGTAACAATTTATAACTTTATAGGATATAGCAGCTGACAAACTAATGAATGTCTAGATTGTATTTTAATTGTGAAAGCATGCAAATCTCACCAATCTCATTATTGATGTTACAATAATCTATTTAGAAACTGCGAAGTACGACCGATGATGATGAATTAAAGAGAATATTAGAAGCTGCTAGGTAATCTTTCCGCAATACTGTATAAAATCCAAAGAACTGAATACTAGCGATTATCGAAGACCTATCGTGGCATTATTATAATATCTGAACTTAGACTATACTAAGATGAAAAATTAATTTTTAATATGTGGAAAGTAGATATTGTATAAATAGTATTGCTTTAATTTAGCTTACATAGTAATTTCTTTACTTCATTATGTAAACTTACAGGACCATTTTAACAACACCACTTAGATTACAAAGGGATTATGTTAACAGGTTTAGTATTGGATTTGATTCATGATAGTAATTACTTTATCGATTAATGTTTATAATGCTTTATTTCACTACAAATATATGTTACAGCGATGATATGATCAGAAATCTTCTAGACTGTATGAGGAATTGTTTTGAGTAAGCTCTTATGCATGATCGTGCTAATACCAGTAGTATTAATTGTGATTATGTTACTAAGCTAGTTTTATCATATAAACTAAAGCAAACGTGTACGAAATCAAATTATGTATTGTTGGTGATGATACAAAAGTACTTACGTTACCACGTCTGTTAGACGTAGCTGATCGCTAGAAATATGGAGAATTAAATATTTAAATATAGATATAGGAAAAAGTTATTTGAACTATACCCTGTACTTCTAACTGAACCTTAAAGTATTGTCTTCGTATTACAGCGCTGAATTGCAACTATTGGCTGCTGAAATTTTACGAATGATTGCTGTTGAAAAAGGAATATCTGTGGCTACATTTGATGAAGGTAAGGAGCTGTTTCATAGCTGTATATAGGGAAATTGGTAAATGATGAACAAGATGAAGAACAAATAGTATAATGTTCCCGTTCTTAATATCCAATTTTAAGTTAGCAACATTAATTGATTTGAATCACTGATTTAATTAGCTACAAGAATAGCTGTGCCTATTTTACTGAAGCTACTTAGCAGTTGTAGAACCGACATCGCAATACGAGTACTGCAGGAAATTGAAAAAGCTGAAGGTCATTGATAGCAGAATTATTCATATAAATTTTGATAACCTTCAAAGTAATGAAATTTTCTTTCTTATCATTATTTTGATAAAGATGACGAAGACTTCAGATACAGCATTGATTTATACTCTAAAGGATTTGCGTCATTAATCGGAGATATTATTAAAATCGATGAGCCGGTCTGCCCATTTTTTTTACGAAGTCACTTTATTTCATGCTGGATATTGCGTGATTGATGGGCTTGACTGTGACTAACTAGCTTCATTTTCGGATATTATAGGTTGCATTACTGAGAGCAGCAACTGCAGCAATTAAAATTCATTTATCCAATAGCGATTTATATATTGTACCTTATGTAAAGTTTCAGAAGGTAAATTATAGAATACTATTACTCAACATACAGAAATTGACTTAATGAATTAGTGTGTGTTTGCTTTTACATATAAACTGTTTTAATAATATAAAATAGAGCATGTGATGATAGAAAGATTTTAATTTACTTACTTTAGCTGATGCCAAAACTCTTGCAACTAATGCAGCTAGATGACATTGAGGTAGGTTATAAGCATATGTATGACCTTTACATTGATTAATTAATCAATAAATTAATTCGATGACATTTGGTTTAACTGTAATCATGAATGCAAACATATAGATCCTAGCCAATGTGTGTTATTCTGTCATTCAGTTACTGAATCGTGATGATTACCAAATTATTTTAGAGGTGAGAAATGCTTTAACAGTGTAATATGCATCAATTTTACTTCTGCTTTAGTTAGCTCTTTCCGTATGAGTTTATGCGAAGAATAATGATTAGCTCAAAATTTCAATTTTTTTCATTGCAAAAGGAAATCACGAGATCCGAGGCGAAATTAGTCTCACGCCTTTTTTCGCTTCTCAGTAGTAGTTCGGCGATAGTTTTGGTATGGTAGGATTAATAACTCTCGTTATCAAACAAGAATTATCTTTCAAAACATTAAAATTTCTTTACATGTTATCATCATTTCGTTGTAGATTCCTACTATGAATTTATTAATTAAGTTAGTTAACGTCAGGACTAACATTTCTGGTAAACAACTAGCTCAGGTGCGTTTTACTTAAAAACTTAATAATTTTATTATATTATTTTAAGCTGCAAGTGGCAAACTTCACACTCAATCTTGGGTGATGGTGTTATTTATACCCAATTTTTTTAATTGATTGACAATCATATCTAGTTTTTATAGATGCAGATTTTAGCATAAGATTAATTAATACGCGTATCTTTTCAAAAAAATTAATGGATCAATATCCACTTTCAATTAGATATTGATTGACATGAAATTATTTCAACGACTATCAATACTACTTCAACATCCTCAAGCATCAGTAAAATCGGTGGAGTACATTGCAAATTTAAATAATTTTTTTATGGCATAAATCTTATGTTGTTACTTTTGTTAACTAATAAAGGTGGCTACGGTGATGGTTGAGAGCTTTCGCTGGTGGGATCGGGAGACTTTTTTGGTAATTATTTGTTAAAGTATTATGTACATTCTTGGGTGTAAATGATTTTAGTCGTAACTGTAACATATGTTAGCTACGGAATAAATTTCGAGACTGTTGCAATAAAAACTAGTATATAATTCTATATCTGAAAACATTAAATCATTGTGATTTTTAGAATATGCTGGATGAAGAGATTTTGGTCCCTATTTTAAGAAATTTTTGCCATGTTAGTTTCTCATATAATTGTTTTAACCAATAAGCGCGCTTGTGTATAGAGTTGCTAAAGATTATATCCTGCCAACGTAACAGGATGGATATAACATCAAGATTGCGGTTGCAATATTATCGAATTACATCATAAAAGTCAAAAACACTGACAAGGTACTAAAAATAATGAATTCAGAAATATCAATCTGTCAATTCATGAATTAATTTATTTCGGCTGATAGTCTTCATTCATGATACCATATTTTTTGTAATAAATTTTTATTCGTAAACTAGTTTGTAAAGTTGCTAGAATATGGTGTGGTTGAAGTTGGATGTAATTTGCTATTATCACCGAATAGAGAGCATGTAAGAAAGGGAATCATGTCGGATTATTTATATTTCATGTGTTATAGCACTAAGCAATTATAAATTATTGATCGTTGCATTCACAGCTACACGATGGGTTAAGACTAATGTACTGTCTTGCTATGGTAAGAAAATTTTTTGCGTCAATTGTACTAGTTTTTACTATTTTATCACTCAAAATTTCAACTAATTTATCACCTCTTATAGTATAAGGGTTATAAATTGAATGTTATTTGTTGGTAGTATCGGTTAAAGAGTGCTTTCCAATTTATTTAAATCCATTTCTTAATTGATCAGCGTGCTGGAAAAGAAAAGATGGAATATGCAGCTCAAGTTAGGATAAAATCAATGAAAGGTAGCGGTTGTAGCGTACCATAAAGCATACATAACTATAGTATATTATTAATTGTCGGATGCATGCCTATGCCATTATATAGACCTGATATAGTTACTTTGATTTAATTGATAACCATTACGCTAGTACGAGTACTTGCAGTTGTTAGCCCTTCATTTCGAGCTAAATAGTAAAAATCAAAATCCTTACTTTGTAGGTGCGCTCTATAAACTCAAAGAACTGCGAGCTCCCAGTAGCTTTATAACCCGAGAAGTTACAGCAGACATCTTGAAGAAGCTCAAAATAGATTTATGATAATATATTAAATGTTATATGATACGTATATCTTTTGTTCTATTCTTATCCTTAAAAATTTGTATTATTTGTTCACACACTTCTGAATTGAAACTTACTACACGACAGTGATTTATAATTTTACATTTTTAGCATGATTTTAATTTACGTTGATCTTATTAGTAAAATAACTATCTGTAAACCTAAGATACCGTATAGGGAAAAAATTTATAAGGATATATTATTAATCGATTAACTGTTATCTATTGATCCTATTCCGGATTTATGTCATATCATGATAAATTATGGTTACGTTAATCACTTTCATAACATGCTAATGATTAGGTAGGTAGAGCTCCTTTTTCATCTACCATGACTTAATCGAATTCAGTATCAACAAGTATTGCAGCAATGCTAGTTTTTTTATATCAAAAATCAGCACTCTTGCCACAAGTGTGCATATACAGTACATATGTGTCCACACGAATTTATGGTTATGATGTAATCATTCATAACCTAATGGATTTATTTATCCTGTGTTACTGTTTGTGATGCTTCTTATGTATTATCCTGATTTGAGAATATTTTTACCTACTTTTCTATAAATTAGCTGAGGTTTAATAATATCAAGTGATTGCTATGTATTGACGACTTGTTTACAAACAAATTGCATTTCAATAAATCATCAATCGGACTAATGATAAAAAAATGTTTTTCAGAAGTTTCCTTGCTTTAATATGTTGGTTCAATTGATCTTGTTTGCTTATGATTACGTAGTAGTAGGTGTGATAACAACTATTGATTAAGATTCGTTGCCGATGATGATGAGAAGAATACCTATTTTTGTTTACTTACCGTAATAAATTTCGATCATTTTTTATTTTTTCCTCAAGCCCTCATCAAATTAGGTGCGGATATTTTTAAATTGTGATAAATTAGCCAAGAAATTTCATTTTATTCTCCATACACTGTACTATTTCCAATCATTCGCGAATGCGTATTAAGACGTTAGAGGTCTTACATTTTCGCTCTCAGAAGCTATCGTTCTAGTATCATGCACGTACAGTATATTGCCTAGGTACAGTAGGTGTATGATTACGTTTATCAATCAGTAATTCGCAGCAGGATAAATTACGAAATACGAACAATATGCATGTTCAGCGGGTAGTCTTTGCCATTGCGTATATAAAGATTTCAGGACTGAAATGATAATTAAAATCCTGGCTTTTCTTCTTTATACTTGCCATGCATTCTTATCAACGATTTACTAGTACACTAAGTACTGTACAGTATAATATTCCCTTAATATTAATATTTAGAAACTGAATACTTTTTGATTCGTTAGCTTTGACAATAATATTGCGCTCAATTCAATTTAGTGATGATATTTGAGAGCCTCCATTACGATCTCTCGAGTGGAATTAAAATAAACTAAATATTTCGTATATATTTATTTTTTACTTGTTCGTGGCACTTGCCGGCTAAGCTAAAGCAAACGCCATTGGGTAGGTGTTAGGAGCTGTTACGCATGCGTCACAAAGTAGTTTCCGTCAAGATGGAGCAACACGATATGGTGTTGTTGATTGCTTTAGCTTTCTTTACTTTACTTTTTCTCTATTTTATGCCCAGGAAGAAGAATCGCCAACCTCCAGTTATCGGTGGCTATATACCATTAATAGGTTGCGCGATACAATTTGGACGAGATCCAATCCAGTTTATACGTCAATGTCGTGATAAGGTAAGCAATTACGTTAAGGTCTACGCTTTGTTGATGCAACAATTCGGAGACGTGTAAAACGCTCAGTATCTTGATGATGTTATGTACATCTAGTAGCAGCTCCTGACTTGCTAAATGCTTGGGCTGATTAGATTATTTTGTTAGTCTGATAACGAGAAAATACACCTATTAGAAATACTGAGTTTGTTAATTTGCTTCCTTTGTTTTAAATTATATCTTGCAGTATGGAAAGATTTTTACGTTATCTTTACCTGGACAGCGTTTAACCTTCTTACTGGATGCTAATGACTATGATAAATATTATAGTACCAATTGCGTCGATTTTCAAGCTGCAGTTCAACCAACATGCCAAAAAACTGCTAATATTACCAAATCAGCTTTTATTGATAGCCATTCTAAATTACACGATCTAGTTAAAGGAAGGCTGTCATCCAATTACCTGCAAGTATTATCGATCAAACTAAGCCAAAAATTTCATCAACAAAGTAAAAAACTGCCTCAAGATGTTGAGATGGAATTAATGGACATTGTCAAGACATTTATGTTTAAACCTGTCCTGGAATGTATGTTTGGTGATGATATACTATTTTCCAAGAAGGTATAACCTTTTGTAAATATCAAATCAAGTAATATGTGGCAGATGGTATATATTCTGTATTTTACAGGTGGTTAATATATTACCAATTGCATTACCGTGGTTACGCTCGTTAGTTATTGCATTCAGTTTGCTTTTTGAATTATTAACAAAGTCTGGGGATCCCGTGAAGACTTGAGAAATCGCTGCAAGCATTATACTATACCTCTATAGCTTGGATAGTGCATACAAGTGATCGATACAGTGCTTGAAATGGAAATCTTGATATAAATAATTTTTGTTATTTATGATGTTTGCTATTAGAGCGATTGTGAAGATTTGTGGCAGCAATTGAAGGATTTTGATGCTGATTTTGAAATGGGAGCACAAATTCCAGAAGTATTTCTAAGGTTGTCTGAGATTTTTAGTTAGGGAATTGTAGTGTAAATGAAATAATTCTGAAACAGTGTCTAACTTGTCCATATTGCATTTCTTGACTATTATATAGCAAGTGGGCTAAATCAAAACAGTGGCTATTAAGAAAATTTGAGCATGCGGTTCAACAAGCCAAAGGTTTTAATAATTTAATCACTTCGTTTGCCTGTTATTACCTTAACATTAACTTTGTTTATCTGAATATACTTGTACATCCTCCATGATGATGAAAATGGTCGATCTCATCTGCTCTTCTAACATTTCTTGATAGATGTAAACTCAGACCAGGATAACAATTCTAAGGTTGTTACATAATCGTCATATATTCAATTGCAACAATTTCTTGTAGATTTACTATCAGCCTTACTTGAATTTCTTAGTAAAAGAAACGTTTCAGGATTGCATCGAGTAACTTATAGAAATTAATATAACTATTACATTGCGTCTAAGTAATATTATCAATGTACTCTATACAGACTATTTTCCAGTCCTTACTGAGCACCGTCAGGAAAGATGCTGCTGCAAATTTTGGATTGCTGTTTTTTTGGGCAACCCAAGCTAATGCAATACCGGTTTGTATTATTATTCACTTTGCAATGTTACATTGTCCGCATGAAAAAACATTTATGCAGTGTCTGTGTGATCGATGTTTTCTTTACGTTTTTCAATTCTTCAGATTTTACGTATGTGAATGAAGCGTAATGCTCGTATATATGATTATGCATATGCTGTATATTTTTTTGTAGGCGGTTTATTGGAGCCTTATAAATATTTGTCAAAATCCACGTATATATGAAAAAGTTATGGAAAATTTACTATCTGTGTGGTCAACTGCAGGTACAAACAAAAAATTAATGGTCTGAAGTCTAATATAGATGAATTTCTGTATCAAAATTGTTAATTAATACCCATTATCTTAAGAAATTCTTTAATGTTAGCATTTTTTACGGAATACCGAAACTGTCCAATAATTATTAACAGATGATGAAGTGATGATTAAAGAAGAAGATATCAAACATCTATCCTACATAAAATGGTATTTTATATTTTTTTCGATCATTCGCAGCACTATTCCGTCCTAAGATATCAAAATATCAATCACACTCTAAAATAGGTGTATCTTAGAAGCGATAAGATTAGAAAGCCCAGGAGTGTCTTCTCCAAGAATGGTCACTAAACCTATTGAATTTCAGGTTCCTATACATCTGAAATTAAGAAATTTTGCTGCATTTCTTGTAAGCTAAGATAGCTATGATTGAAAACAAATTGAAAATCTGCTATAGAATTTTGTTGTTCCGCCTGGGAATATGATGGTTATAAGCCCATTTTGGTCGCATCGAGATAAGGACTACTTTACCGATCCTGATACATATAATCCTGTATGTGTAGCATCAATGACGAGCTTATTGTGGTACTAGTAAATATCATGACGTCGATATGCTATCTTATTAAACCATGTTACTTAATTCTACCGAAATTAAAGTGATATTATTGATGGAACTGATGGCAAATATTATCATAGGATCGCTGGTTGAAGATGAATAATACGAAAAAAGCTTTTATAGATGGATTCGTTGCATTTGGAGGTGGAAGATACCAGTGCCCAGGAAGGTTAGTATACTGTATACATTTATATATGACATGCACTTAAAGAGTTCTGGTATAAGTAATTATAAAAAAGGTAAAATTTTAGGTGGTTCGCTATCATGGAAATGCAAGTTTTTATTTCTTTACTTCTTTTAAACTATAAAATCGAATTGATAGACTACAAGCCTCAGGTTCGTTGTAACACTTTGAATTTTACTAAGTAGCATTTATAATATCCAACTTATGTCGAAGGAATCTGAGTTTCTACTTTATCTTACATAGAAACCGACACGTCTGGTAGGCCTCCAGCATCCGCATACTGCATGCATAGCAAAACTAAGTAGGCGAAACTCTTGTAGATAAAAATTTTAGCTACATTATGAACATCAAAAGATACAAATACTGCGATATGGTTCAAACAACGTTTTAATTCGACATCAGGAAGATATAATCAAGAATTACTGTAGCTACATATAGCTGAGCAAATGACCAATGTTAAATCTATGTCCAGAGTTACAACGCTGCAGTTGCTCTATTACTGAAACATTTTACTACAACTTGTTACAAGCTTACCACATTATTGTCTATCCAGATTATACCACAAATGTAAGCAAACTATAGGGCAGATATAATGTACTAACAAGCCCTTAGAATTTCATATTTGCAATGTTTGCCGAATTTTTGTTTTACTGTGAACATATCATACATGTAACTTCTAGTACATAAATAAATTCATCCATTTTGTACGTTAATATCTAATGCACCGCTTAATGAAGACTTCCTCAATGACCTCAACAAATTTTTTAGTCATGCAGAGAAAAATACTACTAGTGTGGGATGACTATATATGACTTAATTTAATGCCTATGGTTGTCATAAACGATAACATGCAATTTATGGCTTCCAATTAGGATCAAAGTGCTTTTTCAAGTCAGACCAACAAGTGTAATATTTTGGGTCAATTTTACGGCAAACTTCTTCTCCCCACTTGGTTAACGCTAAACCAAACGAAGTTTCAAACATAAATGCCTAATTGATATACAGATGAAATACAGTTAATATTTCTTTAGCAAAACCATATTCAGTATAACTTTTACAATCGTTCTCATTATAGCAATACCATAGTGCCTCCAATATGAAAGGGTTTAAGCTCTCCATTTGATGATTGCTCAAAACATTGAGTGTCAGGTCCATGAGGCGTATACATGCTGTGTAAACTAGCACCACCTGGAGCAAAACCTTCTTCCTTCGCTTCATATTGTCCCGAGATCAGTCCCATAAATTCGCTCATACAATTTCCTAAGTATCGATAAAACAGCATTATCAATCGTGAATATATATACATTATGTATATCAATGTCACAGCAGAAATAACTTTTAAGTGTTTGAAGCACGAAGAAACATACTGTGATAGTAAGGAGGTCTAAATGTATGCTCTTGTACAGCCCACCGGGGAGGAAAGATTACAAAATCTGCAATCGCAACACCAGGCGTATTGGAAGGAGCCGTAAGGACAGTAAATATTGAAGGATCCTGGATAGTAAGTAAAGTTTACACTTAGGTGTATGCAGCATTCTAAACTTGTGAAGTAATTTACTTTTGGAAGGTAAAATTAATTACCGCATGATCAAACTCAACAGCATTTATAACCATAAAGTTACTAAGATCATATTTATACGGAACAAAGTTTCCTCTCCAAGCAACAACATCAAATGGAGAATGATCCTGTGAAAGAAGTAGCATAGTTAAATACAGCGTTATAAATACCCACAATTGAAAATTTTCGATAATAAATTACCTGCATGGCGCAAAATAAATGTCCCTGATATTTATTAACGACCTGAAAGCCATCTTCGTATGTCTCATCGACAAAACTAGCCTTAGGGCTTAAGAAGTCGAAGGGATTTGCTAGCCCATTTGCACCTATAATTCAACAGAAACATTTTTCTATCAATGCTATATTGACAGTTGATATACAGCATAATAACAAACAAGTAAGCGAATGTAGAATGCAGGAAAAAGTGATTGCAACAAGCTTAATGCAATCAGAGCTGAAGCATTCCATTACAATTATATGTGTTTATCATAGTACCTAAAGCAGACTTTAATATGCTACTTAGCAATTCTATGACAAACATTTAAGAGTTACGCTAGTTCAGCATTAAATTATCATTATTACCAATCGGTCCTAAATTAGGTAACCGAAAATGAACGCCCCAAACTTCCAAAATATATCCTCTACTTGGTTCGTCAATTGCTACGGAAAAACGGATTCCGTGCTTTTAAGATAAAAATAGTTAAGGAACTATTTAAGATGTAGTTAAAACAAGTTACTATGACATAGTTATGCGTAAGCGAGCGACTTCACTTACTTGGATGACGCAAATTTCGTTAGGGTTTACATCTAGTTTACCAAATTCTGTAGTAATGCGTAACTTTCCTTTCTGTGGAACTGATATCGCATGGTAAATATTTAATAGTTAAGTTATTAATGTACATGATACGAGGTAAAATTTTCAAGAATGTAACGAACCAATTAAGAAATCACCATCGCTGTTATAGAAGCATCTACATTTGAATAGAATACAAACAAAGCCTTATTATAGGATAACCTGTATCAACTTGACTTAGCATGTTTTAAATTTTCGTGCCAAATACCTATTTGTCATAGATTTGTTGCAGGCATAGATATGAATCGCTGTGCCATTTCGTTCACGAGGACTGCCAGCACCGCACACAGTCGCCAATCCCTAAAATTAATATACGATGGTATTTTATACTATGCCTTACTAGGATACAACTGTAAGGATGTCTTTAATATTCGCACTTATGATTACTGAAAATATTTTAATTCAACGTACCTGGACAAAATCAATTTCCTGATCGTTTGAAGGAAGATCGAAAGGTTTCCAACGAAGCTAAAGATCGCATTTGAGATACGATATTATGATCACGATGACAAATTAAAGTAGCAATTAGCATTGCTTATAAACATAGTGTTAGAGTAGTACTTGAATTTATCGAAGTCAATTATACCTGATTAGGATTAGGATGCTGCTCATCCCAATCATGAGACAAATTTCCTCTTTCCATGGCTTTAAACGGTTCGTGCTGTACAGAAGGGTGGATTCGATACAACCAGCTGAAATGATACTTGATATTATAAATTGTTTACAAATGATTGACAAGCGTAATACCAATCTAAGCCAAAAAATCGGTACACCGCCAAACGAGCAGGAAACAAACAACATTCGTAGCTGGCTTTCAATTTTTATGTAGCATATTTAATACCTTCTTTGATTTGTCTCCCGAGGACAGGTAAATGCAGTCCCAGATATTTGTTCGGCATACAGACCATAAGGGCATTTCTGTGGACTATTCTGTTAATTGAGAAGTAAGTATATCTTATGCTTGGATAAATTTGGGATATATCCTTGTAATTAATTCAAATGTTATCTAACTGTTGTTTGAAATCTCAGTATTGTATAGTATCGTAAAGTTATATATTTCATTCTATAAGGTGTAAGTGCTACTGCCATGTTGAGTATTTCAAGATACATTTGATTGAAGATCATTCGCATAATGGTACCCATATAGAGTACTCAAATTGAGTCATCACTTTACTAACTTAATGAGACGAGATAATTAATCAGTTCAAATCATTACGATACAAAATTCTCACTGCGGAAAACAACGAATGATACATGCTTATTATCATGTGATTAATCCGACTTAATCCAATCATTATTTATAATTTATCACAACGGGCAAGAACTGGTATTCACTGTAATCTTGTCATTCAATTGTGAAAGTTGTGACGGGACAAGGGTATGCACAGAATGAAGTAAATGGTTGTATCATTTCGTCAAGCACGACAAGAAGGATGTTATACGCATTATTGTTGGGAATCTCATGATATTGTAGTTATAACATGACGATCACATGCTCGGAGTGCGGTAATTTACTATTTAACAATCATTTCATCCAGTATCGTACCACTGAAGTAGTCCAATATGTGAAAGCATAGACTGCTACAAAAGTATTTCATGGTGAACATGTCTTTACTCTTCAATTCTTTGCTGAAACTATTCAACTAATGATATGTGTTTATCGATACTTGAATAGCCCCAAGCAGCGTCGATTTAGTCAACGATCATAGGTTGAAATTTTAGTTTCAGTCAAGAATTGAAGAGTGAAGACCTTCTTGACGGGGGCCTAAGGTGCAGTCAACAAGTGAATTCACTATGAAGAAATTGATATCGATATGAAGATACAGTAGGGTGATCCAGATTGCAAAGTAATAATCAGTCAACGGCCTATAGGACTCAATATCATCGATTTGCAGCACCAAACGATTTAAGTAGTTACAGTATCTTTCGTCATTACAGTAGTAGGCAAATACAAACTGTCCTATGAGTGATGCAATGTGATGATTGCTACCGTATTTGTCCATTTGTCATACTACAGTAAAGTATGATAGCATCGATCAAAATTGGTACGATTTGTCTGTCTAGTTGATGTGAGATCGCATGAGTAGACATAGGACGAAAGCAGTGAACACTAATCGTCGATTCATTATTTTGTTAGACATTAGGAATGGAATAGGTAGTCACTTGGTGCTAGCTTAATCTTGAATGAAAATTACATTTCCTTCTTAGCATTACTCTAATTGAATTCAATGCATTACCATGGACTGTCAGATCAGTCTAAAAGTACAGTAGGTCATCTTCTCTTACCTGGCCCTTAGGTAAAGCGTCAGGCAAAGCTTCTGACGAGAATTCGTTACCAAATCCGGATAAATACTAACATATTGCATAGAATAATCATATTAAAACTAAAATGAACAAGATATTGAATGAACAAGCACTTGTTTCGGCCATAAATTCTATCAACACTGCTAAGGAATACTTTAGAGAATTATTATTTCACCTCCATTTCCGACATGATTATTGAAGCCGTCTGCTATGTGAAGCGAACGAGGATGACGTGCAATTGCCGTTTCGGGCGTAGGGGTACCCAAGGTATTTTGTTTTCCCTCTACAGTACGTACTGTACCAACGTACTGTACTGTAATCCAAGTCACGTACAGTACTGTACAGTACATTGTGCAGTTTACAATTAGTAAAAAAGAAAGAGAGAAAAGAAAGGGGGCGAACTCGAGGGTTTTGGCCCATTCAACGCCCGCTTCTAGATAAATAATCTGATACTGTGACTAGGCACAGTATAAGATTAGACTATCAGCTGGTCGACGTGATCATGCGACATGGAAGAACGTGACTAGTCGACAGCTTTCTATCTGTTGTTTGTCCAACATTGCATTTCAACAGCTACTACAGTACAGTAGTCGCTTACAATACAGCACGGTAGCAGCCTTAGCAGGATCATGTAGAGAAACCATGGAGCTTTATGAACTGTATAAAAGAAAAGAAATCAACCACAGGACACTATCGAGATTCAGGAATCACCATATTCAGTCATTCGGTCATACTACGGGAACAAAAAAAGGCACAAGTGGGTTGCGATACCGCGATGACGTCATATGTCTACTTTAAGTACAAAATTTTCCACTGTTTCTACTGGTCCTGCGTACCAGGCGAGAGTCTGCTCGTGGGGCTAAGCTGGGTGTGGCGGCGCGCACCTGTAATCGAGCTACTTCGAAGCTGAGGTAGTGAACTGCTTGAGGTCGGGGTTCTTACTGGTAGTTATCCTATGTCGATCGAGCGTCCACACTAAGCCTTGTGTCAATATGGGCAGTTAGAGGGAGCTCTAAATGTCCAGGTTGCGTAATGAGGAATGAATCGGCCCAGGGTGGAAACACAGCAGGCAAAAGTTCCCGCATCAGGCAGTAGTGGGATAGCGCTCGTGAATAGGGAGCTTATTAGTAGCCCGATCAAGATAGTAGAACATTGCTTTTTTGATTTCTTTTCTTTTAGAACGTTACTGGGTAGTATGCGCAACAAGGTAGCTATTCTACACACACTGGCATTAGCTTACCACTACCGTATATCGTGGTAATACTGCACATCGTAAGATTGTTATTGAGTTGCATAAAATGATGGAAAGCTGACGTAAGCGAAAACTAGGAACTGTAAATACCGATCATTCTTATATTGGGCTGGTAAAAAATAATAAACATTTCATGCTTTAGTCGACACTTTCTAGTTGTACTCGTATTTGTCCCATTTTGTTAAATAGTACAAGCAAAGAATGTACTTTAAATTACTAGTGAGCGTACGTAATCATAAAATGGATCAAATTTGAAACATCAGATCGACAGGTTTCCAATCACATATTTACTCTATGCAAGCCTTAAGGCAGTTATTTAAAAACCAAGTCGCGCATCAGTTAAGCTCTATAGTATTTGCGTGCAGCACTCGCTTGAGTTAAATTTTTATATTGCCTTGACTAATAGTTATACCTCGCTACAATTTATCAAATTTGAAGTCAGTACAAATTTGACTAATGACGAAATAAAGTATATTATTTAAAGTGAATTTCCTTTGTCAACTACCTATCATGCAAAAATTTCTTATGGGTACTGATTTGCAATCGTGTATGATTCATTCATAGATGCCTATACGGAATGTTGATAAACTGTTAATATCACCAAAAGTACAAACATAAAGCATAATTTATTGCCTTTCAAATCGATTTAAAGTTTATAGATGTTCACATCAATCAGTCAAAATCATTTAAAAAATAAAATGGTATCAAAAGCAAACATTATATCGTTCTAAGATTTTTAAATAGGATAGAAATTAATTAAGCCATAGTATTGTATCCTATCGGTTGTTTACTTACATAAAATAATTTATAATAATTAACATGCATAGGATATCAGATAATTGCAAATACTATTTAATTCGCATTGCAGAACGAATTACGTACAGAAATCATATTATTATAAATTGTATTGGTATTGCATTAATGCCGCCTGATGCAACAATCGTATATATAAAAGGAATTCAATAATTTCGGTGTTGTATTAATAATAGTTACTATTTGCTAACATTATTATATTATTACTTGTATAAATGAAGTAGTTCAATTAACTTCACATAACATTATCGGTAAATGTCATATCAATTAAAATCTGGATAAAATGATTTAACCACCACGGCGCGTCACTTAGCTTGCAGTAGAGGATAACATACCAAGAGACTTACATAAGGTAAGGTAAAAAACTTACCATCAGCTACTAATATTGCTAGTAATGATTCAGAGAAAGTAAATTATGCCAATATGTACAGAACTAAAGATATTTTAATAAGTTATAAGACATTTTGCAATCAAGAATCACCATAATCATCAGTACGATGTAGAGAGATGTAATCCTAGAATGCACATCGATAATAGTTATTCGGATAATAATTATGCATTTTACTCCAGGAATTTCCAAATAGATGGAAGAAAACAATCAGCGTTCCAATCTGTTAACGTTTAAATTAATCATTTATTTGAGAGGATATCTTAGAACGATTTGTAACAATGTGATTCCAAAGTCGACATGCAGGTCCACCCCTTAAAAATAAAGAAATAAGTCAATATGCATAAAACCTGATATAATTAATAGAAATCTTACTAATGAATTTTTAAGCTAAAATTTACTTTAAATTCAGCTCTTTTAAATCTTCTCTAGTTATACAAGTCATAACATCTTCGTATGTAAATTGCTCTTCCTTAAACTGAAAAACGTTACACATTTCACTCAGGATTTCAGATGTAAAATACCAGTAAATAAAAATTTAACTCTGAATACCTTACTAATATCCTCACTAGAAAAGTCTAAACTTTTAAGAAGGTTATTTAGGTCATCCTCCCCTTTACGTGTAAACGAAAAATGTTATTCAAATTATCGCAGAAAAATAGTATTACACTAATTTACAACAAGATCTACTAGTAATTTTAGTTCCAAAACCTATGCTATCGATTAAATTGATTCGGTTATAAAAGCCGTACAATAATAACGCAATACTCGATTTACTACCTGGATTTTTAGAAATAAAAAAGTTCGCCTCACTGACCATCCCCTTAGTTGGTGTGCTAAATGAACAAATAAAGTAATTTCTGAAACATCCATATTTCGCAATTCCTAGATCCTTCACAGCTTTCCGGATAATAATCATACCTTGATTGTAGGGCTTTCGTAAAGTGATTGTGAACGTCAATATCAGCCTTAAGCTGTCTATTAAATGTTTGTTTCACCTTTACCAATTCTTCTAGCAATCTACGGATGTTAATAGTTGCAAAACAGTCAATGATGTTACTATCTATTATTGCTTACTTCCAAAAAACACATTTATCGCTGACATTATTACCTCTGATTTTCTAAATTTAGTTGGGCTAGCTGTTCGTGAAGTTCGCTAGTATATTGAGACGTTTGGTCAGTTGTCTTAGTTATTAATGAAGCACTGCTACTGCTTTCGTGAAAAGTTCCTATTCCTCCTTGCTCAAACGCTTCACCGCCTATGCATTTAAAATATGTCCATTAAACTAGCTTCAACACGGTGTTCAAATAAGATTATCTTATTTTCCTACTTTCAAAAAAATGACGAACGATACTGATTGAAAAAAATACTACATCGTAGTAGAGAACTTACTAGGTCCAAAGACTTCTGCAGCAGTATCAATTGCATTCTTCAGATGAGCTTCTATTGCAAATATCCAGTGCGGCTTAATATGCCCTTTAATAACTTCATTTACCTACAAATTCAATCATTTATTTTCAATAAATAGAAATGAGCATTAACGCAGTAGTTTTCTATACACTGAGAGCAATGCAGAAAAAATTGCATAGAGATTTAAAGGTAGATAGAAAATAACTTACAACATCACGGAATAAATATAATGTATACAGCAATTCCTTTCGCGCACGTGAATCTCTGATAAATTTTGGAGTACCTACAAAAAGTTCCAATTAATTGTAACAATTTAGTTATTACATTCTGCTTACATATATTTTTCCATAATAATACCAATCCTTAGTACGTAGTCACACCTAGAAGCTCCGTCAGCGGCTGACGATCACCATTTTCAATTAATGCTTGCAAGCATGACAATAAAGTTTTCAAGTCATCCTATTCGTACACATGTATACAATAGTAAAGAATTCAGATAACAAGAATCCCTTTTAAACTTAGGTGACACAAGCAATCTTGTTATATTAAAAATAAAATAATACTTCACCTTTGTTGTATTTAGATCATCACTATTTATTTCCATGGCTAGTTTATCGTACCAGCAGTTACATATCTATTTGAAAAAATTTTTCGTTCACGCGATAAATTAAAAATTGATAAACCTATAATATACATTATGTTGATTACTACTTATAAAGTCAACGTTTAGCGTCTAACCTTGTCAGCTTGCTCTTTCAAAACCTTCAAAACGATTATTTGCCTTTCGGAGTCTTTCCTTACCAATTCAAAATGATTATTCGAAGCATCCTGACCAGGAACTGAGGCTATAGAGTCATACTTAATAGTGGAACCAGGACTATGCAGGAATTAAAAAATACAAAACGAGCGTGAATGTTGCTGTTTCTTGCATTCATCCATTAATAGCAGCGGAATTAATACCTATCATCACTACCACTGTGACTATTTGCGATGCTTCCTATTTCCTCTCCTGGAGATAATATTTGATCTGGATCTAGAGAATAGCATATATTTCAAATTCTGCAATTCATTCAGTTCTTGCTAGGCATGTATGCATGCATATATAACAATTTAAATACCTTTAAGTCGCTGAGTCGAAGACTTTAAACTTTTTGATATGCGATGTCTAACCAAACAATAAATTGATAAGATTTACTGCGCCGAGGTAATCTTCTTAAAATTATCACGATAAACGCTTACCTTTTCAAAAATAAATGAGCTAATAAATGAGCAGCAGTTGATCTTTTATTGGGATCGGGTTCAAAGCAGCACCTAATTAATTAATTTCGCATATATTATTTGTATAACTATTATTCTACATCAGCGTATCCTGAAAAATCAATAAGAAATTCTGTTTTTAAAGGCAACTCGTGGACGCACTTTTCTAGAAAATCTTTCGCAGATGATGATAAATTTTCTGGAATATCAGGATGAACTTTAAACATTCCTACTTTAAACATAGCTGCATGAGGGTCACCAAGCTGTGGATTAATATATAAAAATTATAAGATGAACTAAATCTAGTGATATTAACTAATACCATAAGAATATATTGGTGATGATGATACCTCGTAAAAAGGCGGCTTTCCGGTAGCCATTTCAATCATAGTGCATCCAAGGGACCAAATATCGGCCTATAAGAATGATGACATAAGAAACTGGTGCAATATCGAAAAATTTTACATAAACGGTATACGTATAAGGAACTACATACTGGAGGTCCATGTCCACGTAGTCCTTTATCTATTACTTCTGGTGCCATATACTGCATTGTTCCTATAGCACAATTTCATATATGCCGCTTAAATAGATACCAATTTACGAGGACACACATTTATTTATTACTCGTACCCTTAAAAGATTCACAATATGGATTAAGGCCTGCTAAGCGTTTAGATGTACCAAAATCCGATATTTTTACAGCTCCATTATAAGTATTTACCAATACATTGTCACCTTGATTATGAATTCCGCATAAATTAAAACGTACCTAAACGGATTGCTCATAAATCTAAAAGATTGCAGTAAGCAATTTCAGTACTCACCCTTAATATCACGGTGGACAATTTTTTGATCATGCTGGAGTAATTGTTATAAAAAATCAAAATTTTAGCATAATTGATAACAATCACATAGGAATTGCTATTAACAAATTAAGGCAAAATAACGAAATTTTTACTTATATTTTGATTAAAATAATAAATGCATGCGCTACAGATAATATAATAACTACCAGATATTTTATTCCCTCTAAAATTTGTCTAGTGTAATATTTTATAGTATTTTCATCTAATGGACCCCATTTTGATTTGATAAGAGTCGATAAACTTCCTGAAAGTATAATTTCAATAATTAATGAAGGATAAAAATTCTCTGTGGCTACATCGAAGCGAATCTAGTATTAGCAGCTTTAAAGTGAGAATTGTACCTCCAGGAACTCTTTCCATAAAAATTTTAAAGACTCCGTCTTCAGTGATAGCTCCCATATATTGCACAATGTTCTTATGAGATATTTTAGAATGTAACCTAATCTCTTCTTGTAATGGTTCGACATTGCTAAAATATAAATTATGTATACATGTGGTGTATTAAGAATAATAATATCCGTACAAATTAGAAGAAAATCTGGTAAAGCAGCGTACGTAGCAACTTTAATTGGAATCTCCTTAATAGCTAATTTCGTTTTCGTCAACATATTTCTTCCAGCAAAAACCGTTCCGAAAGATCCACGACCGAGCACAATTCTGTTCCCCAAATCGTCTAATTCGTATTCGAACTATTTAAAATAAAGAAGATGTACATAAACTTGTCTTTAATTATCTTCAGCGAACCGATTTGAAATAGGGACTCAATCAACTACAGAGTAAAGCTAGTGATTCATGATAAATTACTTCAAGAGGCTCCTCAGTAAACATGGTATCTTCGTTATGAAGAATAGAGCTATCTAATTCATTATAAATTTTTGACATCAAATCCCAGAACCTAGATAAATACCATACTTTAGCACGAAACTGTACATCTGATGCTTTACCAGTTGTCTCCAACTTCGATAAATGCAAATATCTGAATACCTTTGCCTCTGAATATTCGAAGGAAAATATAGCTGAAAATCGTATGAGCTTTGAATTACATATAGGAAGGCACACCTATCGTCCCTTTGGTAAAGGCTAACATAAAATTCGGATACATCGGATATCAATAGCGTCAATAAATATACAAGCATAGCTAAGCGTACATTCATTGTTCGTTTGATAAAAAAGCGTTAAAGCAACTATACCGAACACTTTTGATAGAAGAAGATACAAAAAGCCATTCCGTAATTCCCTAAATATGACAGAATAGTTGCTAATTACTTAAAATAGGAAATATTTTGAATTTTTTTGTGGTTAGTACATACGTTAGAGTCCTTCGGAACAACTTCCCATAAACGTATGCTCTTAAAATATAAAAACGAGATACAATTAATGCTGGGTTAACTTTCGAACATGATTACGTAACTAAAAATCATCAATTAAGTGTGAAACCTTCTCTTCGGCCTCCGTATTAATTAAAATATAGCAAGGAATGTACTCATTAGTTAATTCCATTAATAATACCTAAAACAGGAGAATCGCAATAATATATTCTAATGATGATGCAGCCAATAGTTGCAGTAATTTTGTCTTAGTAATAATATATAATTATTAAAGGTCCATTTTATGTATGGTGCTAGCACACCATACATCTCATGATCTCTAATTACATCTCTGTAAATAGTACATACCGGAAATCTAACGTCAGAGCACTCTGCCTGGGTAGCTTCAGTGAAGAAATCTAGCCAAAACGAATATACCTAAATGTAATACAAATTTTTAATAAATAATGAAATCATCAAAAAATTAGTAAATTGTGAACGTACACGTAAATATCTATATATAGAAGGAATTACCTTGTAGTCTCTAGTTTCCATAATATCTTCAGGATCTTTGCGAAAACTCTTAATAAGGCTTATATTACCTAGCGTTGATTTCAAAAACCTAGAAATAAATGACGAACCCCTTCATTACTAACATTTATGTAGTAATTTTGACGTTACATAAGCATAATATTTCAATATATGTAACTACTTTAAATTTGATTATCTTTACCAGGTTTGCGGTTTAAGCTTAAACATGCATTCTGCAGCTATAATTGTTTTTGTATAATCCTCAGCTAAAACGCTAACTTCAAAAAATGTTGCAACATCCCAGTAATCTTCTAGCGAAGATAAGCTACCTTTCCTGCCAAGTAGCGTATTTAATGTCATAGCTAAGAAAGGCCCAACAAAGAACATGACTTACACTAATTCATATTATTAAATAGACGAAGTACAACATAGGATCGGAGTTTAAGCGAGTATGATCACCAACAATCAGTCATAGACTATTTCATGTAACTGCCAAATACACATTAGGCAAAGATAATAATGGACCTAATCTTATATACTAACAGAGCTAGGCCCATGTGAGGCAATTCTAAGCTAAATTTAGGAATCTTTTCAATATACCAAATTTGAAATAGCAGGTTCATGTACTGTAGTACTAAACTTAGATCACATAGAATGATTAACTGAGAATACCGGCGATACTAACTTGTCTAAATTTATCACAATCAATATCAATAAATCAAATTATCAAATCAGTAACTGAATAAAGTATAATGTATATAATGAACGATGGAAGAGGGAATTCATTTCACAATCATTACTACTGCAATAAAGCTACTTGCCTATTTGTTGTAGCTCAGCAGATAAAGAGAATCTCTCTCCTGCTATAACTAACAGCGTAGCTAAATTTATACCAGCATATTCATTTGGTTGAATTTTATATCCTTTACGATACCTGTAGAAGTTTAATACAACGCAAAGTTAGACTGTATCAGAATATACGAAGGATCTTTATCTACTACGCGATATACATGTAACAATTGTTTTTACCAGTGTATAGCTTTATCTCTACTATCGTTATCAGTATACTCTGATTCGCTAAATTTATCCTTATAGATTCGTCCAAATAAACAGAGAACATTGGGTACATGATTTTCCGACTTTAATAACATTTTCTCCAGCACTTGTATAGCTTTATCTCGGTCTCCTTCTTTATTTCTCCTACATTTTTTATATAAAAATCTTTAATTGATGCCGAAATTATTGTTACAATTTACATAAGCACGTACTGTAGGCCTAAAGTACTGCAAGACTATTCATATGGATCATATAGATTACTAGGTATCAATTTAAATGAACAATTCTGTGTCAACCTATTCAGTGCAAAAGCGTAAAGCTGTTGTATGGGGCCTTTCATGGTCTCCTTGTGATTTGGTAATTCATTAATTAACTTCACCATAGAGTCGTAATCCTATTTAAATGATTTTTAATAGTTGATTATTAATTCAGAATACATCTACCATAGCATAAACTATTTATTGACGCGATGCTAACGACAACATTAGGGCGTGCTAGTTTTTGTATTAGCAATTCAACAAGTTGTAACAAAGTACCTGGATATCACGATATGTTAACATTAAATTATGCAAGATGTCTGCGGTAAATAAAGCAGGATCATCCAATGTAGCCTTTAATCTCGTCAATTCCTAAAAAATATAAGTTTACGTAAATAATTATGAAGACAACCTATGTTCTATCATCACCGGTTTAACAGCAACTAGGCCGGTTCTTAGTTATATCATAAAGTAAAAACAACCGCTACATCAGGAATTGTACTCTTGTCGATACGTGATACCATACTGCTACTATATTTACCGATAGTTACAAGACACTTTCATGCTTACCTTGACAAGATCTTCCTTCGAAAGTTTCTCTCTGGCTCTCCGTAGGTCGCGCAGGAAGATTTCCTTAATATGCTTTCTACGGACAAAGTAAATACAAATTTGGTTTAGATATTATCTGAAATGAAGTCTGCATGACAACATTTTTATCAGCAATGTTGTAAGATAACGATAAGTTATATATCAACGCTAGAGCGACGAGGTAGGTTAAAATAATAGCATCACTTATCCACGTTATCGTGTAAAAAAAATGAATTATTCCTACGCCTCTCTATGGATAGAGTGCTACTGTTGGTTGATTTGATCAGATGACAACAACAACTTGTGAAATCATTATTATTGGTTTTTACTAATATAGCTACATGAACGATGAATTCTAAATCAAAATGATGAGACAGACTTTCAATGACACACTGTATATGGTAATGAAAGTGATAATATTGTCATCAGAAATTTAATCAATTACAAAATGCGCTATTGTACCATCATCTTATTTCTTAACAAGCATTAAGTTTATTCAAATTACCCTACTAGCATTAGTAGCATAATACTATTATCCTTAACACTATCATTTCCTAGATCGAGTGGATAAGAACCGATTTTACCGTTTATTAATTTCAAATTCTTTAATTTTTCTCTTTATACCGGACAGTAACGTCATCCCTTGTATATCTCTTCTTCCTATTCCAACGGTAAACTTTCTAGATATGAAGGCAGTATTGCTAGGATTTATCGTATAGGGCAAAAAGGTATGGCTTGTGACAGATAACTGAAGTGGTGAGACATGAATGATAGCAGTTAATCGACTGATAATTTATATCATTGGATTTTAAAACATTTGAAGTAGATCAATGACTACAGTATCCGATGTGCAGAATGTGACATCTTTGCAAAACGAAATTAGCTACCCAAAGTGACTAGGCTACAGATTCCATGCAAAGTCGAAAAGGTTGTAAAATACAGTATAGGTATGATACACTGAATGCACGCAAAGGAGAGAATCGTAGCTGATTAATAATAATTATTAATGACAACAAAATCAATAAGTAATAAACTACCAAAAATTGATTAACCGCTAGCAGAGACTATTCAACCTTTTCAGGAATTAACAATAATATCATCCTACGCGCATATGACTAGAACAAGCGTTCTCCAATACTACAGTGCAGTATCTTGTACGCATAGACATAGCTATTCCGATTTCCTACTAGGCATACACGACCGTAGCAAAAAGTAATAAATTGGCATTAGCATGTGGATTCCATTATCATTATCATTATTAATTAGTTAATTAAAAGCAATGATGACAATCGAATTTGGTACTAAAAACAAAACACAGTACCGCCGATTTATAATTGACAGGTGAGCAAGATATATATCAACATAGTAACCTATCCACTTTTATCATATAGTATTATAGCGATTTCTTACGCTAATGGCATGAGTTGCTTCATCATCGTTATCATTTAACAGGACGATATTATGCCTCATATCGAAACTTTCACGAACAGCTAATTGATACAAAAGAGGGGCACGTTGAGCAACAACAGATCTTGAAAGAGAACGAAAAAAAAATTAAGTGTCAAGATAATTCCATTCTACCAGCTTCAACGTATCATAATCATTGATATTCATTGTTGTTATCAATTTCATAAACAGGAATTTAAGCGGCTAAATCATTTATAACATGACTATTCGATTGGGGTATTATATTATTATGACGCAAGTGAAGTAAGTCATTGCAGGCTACATAAGCAATTCTTTTAAGGTAAACATCTGAGAAAATATCATCGTATCGAAACTAATAACATACAGTAGGATAAACAAGTATACTGCAACGCTTAGGAAAGGTCTTTTAAAAGTACGGGAGCCTGCAAGATATCCCATTATATTCTATAATTAATTAATCATCATCGGCTACAATATGATTCTACAAAAGATGATACAACAAGCTAGCAGAATAAGCTCACACCAAACTGCGCGGTCGATGATAATGTTATTTACAGTATTGTATTATCGTTTCGTTGCGGCTAGCGTAGGGCAGTCTTGGGAACATAGCAAGCATAACAAGAAAAACTTTTACAATATCGTTTTACCAAGAATACTTTCTACATAAATAGTGGGCTACATATAAGACTTGGTAGACGCCGGATTCATTAATTCATTAATCCTCCTACAATGATGACCCAAAGTGGGCATCCACTCTTACAGTATGGGCGTTACTCAATGCTAGCCAATATTATTTGATTGTGATTTAATGACGATTTCACTCAAGATTGCCAACCTGTTACAGTACATTTACTGTTTGCATTTGGCATTGGAAACTTTGCAGTACTGATCACTACGCCAGTCTATGCTGTCTATGACGATAGTTGCAGATGATGTTGTACAGTATATCAAAAGGATTACTGTTAGTAGATCCAGTTTGAATAAAGTATGGTAGTGATGCATTGTCCTGGTTGGTTTTATTCTTAAGGTTGCAAGAAAATCAACAGGGAAAAACTACTCACATATCCACAATGGCTATATCTGTATTATAAAAGGAATCAAGAACGGCCGTTTCACCAAAGTCTAAACGGCCAAATGGTACCACTTCCATCTTTATTTTTCTATCTTTGCAAGCTTGTTGAGCACATTTCAATGCTACCTCATTGCTGCCAATGAAAACGGCTCTGCCTGATGGCGATAGTCGTAGGCTCGATTCTTTGGTGTTTAGCTTCAGCGGCATGATGATGCTCTTTCCACAGGATTCAACAGCTGTAGATGAGTATAGACAGATTAAAAGGCTAAAATATCTCTATCGTATAGCCAATTTCCTTCAAATTGGATTGCCCACTGGATTTATATCTCACATCTACAGAGCGCTAGCTTCAATTTTAATGAATTAATTTATTAATTAACCTAGCCAAGGTCTTTCATCTTCCACTAGGTTCACTCAACTGTTGGAATGAGTTACTCCCTAGTCACGATCAATGGGTGACCAGTGACAAGTGTAGGGAACACGTCTTCTCAATGTCGTCGTACTGCAGTACCGTCACTATTTGTTGTGACACACTAACACTTGACCTTTCGGCCAGTTGTCAATTTTCCACTTCCACTGCCATTTCACTGGGATATCAACAACAACAACTGAGTGGAGCATAGCATGCTGTTACAGCTGTACAGTACTGTACACTGGTATAGTACTGTACACTGTATACAGTACAGTACTGTACAGTAGTGTACTGTACTGTACAGTGTACTGTGTACAATACTCTACCATCAACTACACTGTACAGTGTACAGTGTAAAGTACTCTGCCATCGACTACTGTACACTGTACCGTACTATACACATTGTACTGTACAGTGCGCTACAGTGTACAGTGCACAGTATTCGATCATCGACTACATTGTACACTGTACAGTACAGTACTGTACACTGTACAGTGCGGTACAGTACTGTACAGTACTCTACCATCGACGACACTGTACTGTACTGTACACTGTACCCTACAGTACCGTGCTACTGCTACAGTACACTCTATCGCTAGAAAGACCCTTAATTAATGAGACAGTCTCTACGGTGCTGTACTGTACTGTACAGTACTGTACACTGTACGGTAACGCATTTTAACATTGCCCTACAGTACCTGGAATATCAGAACTCTAGTCAGTATAGTAGTCAGTACTTTTAACGCGGCTAAATTTAAATTCTCCGCGGAACCCTTTGCCTCATCATCGCACTCTTCAAGATGCAGACCCAAGGTAAGATCGAGTAGATTGAAATGAAACAGGGAATAGACTAAATCGCTGCTATCGATTTCAACTAAGAATGCTAGTAACGAGACTGTTGGATGGATAGTTGCGTGTTTTTCAACGCTTATCGATCTTCTAGTACGTGTAGAGTCGATCGCTAAGAGCTTTGTGGACGAGTTGAGTGAATTTGGTCGCAACATCGAAAATAATATCGCAAGCTTGAACACGGATAGTCAGCATAGTTGTGAAGCATATCAACGTGCGAAAGATCAAATTACCGGTAATGCGCTAGAATTACAGGTACTGTGATACGTAACATACGTTGTTGTTTTGCATGGACAGTATACAGTATTATTATCAGAGCCACTTTCGATAACATCAGTTTGAAATGCCTAATCACCCACTAAACTTGCAATGAATTCCATATTAATCACTTGGTCAATACTCACATTACGCTTTAGAATAAGTTAGAGAGTCTCATTCACCAGTCTGAGCAACAATCATTCAAGCAAATGTTAGTAAGTATCCAAAAACAATTTGAAACAACATCCAAAGATTATCAAGAAATGGACAGCCATTTCCGAAATTATGGCTACAGTAGTCCCAAGATTGGTATGCACACTCGACATTCAGAATTTGCTTTATTGTATAATCATGAATAAATTGAATTGACAAACTGTCTACTCCACTCTACCTATTTCACCTAAATAGAAAATAAAGAGAATACCACTCCTGAGGATGATAAGGAAGTAGATACCGATCCTTCTAGGTAAAAATTATCGAATGCCGTAAAGCTCTTTGTTCCATTTCTAACTATCGAAAAAATGCGATACTTTTGACGTGGATTTCACTGGGAAGTTTGTATTGATAATAAATTGGTCTCGTTGTTGTTATTGATTTATAAAGCAACCAGCCACCTTTAAATGCCACACCAAAACTCGAAGGACTTTCACATTTCGCCTTGGAAGCTATCCGTAAACAACAGTTCGACGAACTGCAATCCGGTATGTAGATCTTAAATATCATGAGTTCAGTATAGCGTATACTGTACAATACATACCAGTATACTACTGAGACTTCGAAAGAGAAAGAGCGGCTCACACTTTCCCTTTAGTAATCTCGACAGTGACTCAAATTCTTTTATCAAAGTTTAAACCACTTGTGGTAACAGTAATTTTAGCTAAACTGACAATACAATAATTTTATACGGGTATACATTAATCAACCTAATTCCAAGTCAGCCTGTGTGCTTATCATGGTAATGATGTATTCTAATCTTGTAGGCAATGTATCGTTAAGTGGAATAAATAAGCACACCAATATTCCAAAGACCGATACACCGCCATTGCCAGACTTTAAAACACCTGGACTCAATCGAAAAAAACAATGCTTACGAAAAGATTCAAAATTAGCAAATGCCTTAAATAATATAGATAATGAATCCTCTATCCCCAAAAGACCAAGGATAAGTATGCTAGAAAATGAGGAAGGTGAGACAGCATTCAAGAAATGCGCACATAATTCATTTATGCAATTTTCTAAACATGCTTTTAGTTACAACGTTGTTGTGTTGTTGAAGCTAGTTTTATTTGTTAGTAAACCGCAGTCAATGTTATTTGTTGTTTATAAATATTCTCTGATGCCGTATACGATAGATTACGATATTACGGAGCAACTTCAGTCACCATGCATGCCGCAACTGGCGACTCCTGGATTAATTACGAAGTCAACGACAAAAAAGAAAGCGACTCTAGCAACAGGTTATGAAACAAACTTGTATAAAGCATGAGTATACAGTATACTAGTACTATATGTACAGTCTATATGGTATACCGTGCACGATGGTAATACGAATAGAATGGAATAGTCTGATAACGTTTTAAATTTTAAGACGTAAATTTGATAATTATTTCTCAAAAAATTAAACAGAACTGTATTCCGTAATGTTTCTATGTTTTGAAGTAATGCATAATACTGCTGTATTGTTTTGTGATCGTAGAACCTGCCCCCGTAGTTGATAGTGTTTGTGCAAGTTTCCTTGGCCATGCTGGAGTGAACAGTCCATTGTACTCTCCAAATCGAAGCGATAAAGATAACTTGAGCACCTTAGTCTCGGAAGCAACCGCAGCTATCAGTAAATTATCATCTGAAGAATACCAAGAATATAGTAATAGTGTCAATAATCCAATGGATTTGCAATTTCTAAACCTAACAATTGCGAAACTTAACTCTTTGGTAATCGGGTCAGAAATTGGTATGATATGCGTATCTCTCTTTGATAACGGAATGATAAATATATAAGTATAAATGTGAGAAGGGTTGTAGAAGTGCTTATTTTAATCTGTCTTGCACTTTTTATTTATGTCCATTAACAATTTCCTGAAATACCATAGCTGGTGAAAGATTAGTGATTGATAAGGCATTACTCTGTGAAAAAGTTGGGATTGATGGGGTCAAATGCAATCGGACGTTATTGCAGCTTTACAAGTTGAAGCGACTACGTAAAAGTTCAGTTGCTGGAAAATATTTGGTACGTTAACGATTTTACTAACGTCAAGAACTGGGTGGCTCAAATAGACGAAGATTTACCTGTAAATATATTTCAATTTTCAGTTTAATTAAGCTAAATGGATTAAGAATTAGCCCAAGATGGCTAAACTGTCGCTGTCTTTGCAACTAAAAAAGTTGAAGTGCATTGATACGTACCAATGTTTTAATTCCTGTTTGTTATTTTGTACCATATTTAACCCTCCTCGCATCTAGATATGCAGTCATCTTTCAGCAATCTAAATTGTATTTTTAATAATATACACGCAATGAATACCAAATGCACTAAATTTCGAATAAAATCATTAAATATTTCAGAGGCATGCATCTTTTCAGCGATGCTATATCCAGAATTACATATCTTTAATGCATTGATAAGCGTATAAAGGAGTTCCAAACAAATCAATAAAGTTCATTTAGTGAGTTCCTATCGAGTTTATACTCTTAATCAAACAAATACGTAAAGCTCTGACCACATTCAATGCTTTTAGTTTGTGATCTACTTTTTAAACGTACGGCGGTGTTACAGTAGTACCTAGTAGTACCCGTGAAGAATGTAAATTGTTCAAAGCGAGTAGGCTATGATGAGGGACTTGTAAAAAATCCCAGTTATGATTTAGTTGAACTGATTAATCTACTTTTTAAACGTACGGGCGGTGTTACAGTAGTACCCGTGCAGAATGCAAATTGTTCAAAGCGAGTAGGCTATGATGAGGGACTTCTAAAACATCCCAGTTATGATTTAGTTGAACTGATTCAGTCATTACTACTTATTGTTTAAACGCAGCTTTTAAACTGACTTACTTAATAATAGCGCAGCAAACTACCTCAATCGGAAAGTTAAGCCAGGTTTGGCCTGACAATATCAAGACAACAACTGATTTTGAGATAAAATTATTGTCCTATTTACTACTTTCGTTGTCGTGCTTTATAAAACAACGTCAATACGAATATGCAGTACAGTACAGTGAGATTGAAATGGTTTCCTTCGAGATAGATTTGTTACACGCGTGGATATTGATAATATAAAGTAAGGAGTACAAGTACATACAGAGTTTATATGTAATATGAATATGATCCAGCTAAAACCCGATCTCGCCTGCCTTGCATAATAGCCTATAGCCGGGCACTATAACTGAATTATTTCTAATAAATTACGAAAAGAAGATGCAGTAGTCCATGTTCGTCCATCCGTCTGCAAGTCCGTCCGCTTTAGGGTTTAACTGGCAATTTAGGTCAGATTTTCCTCTTGAAAGGTCATTCAGCCTGAGGTTATTTGCCGGTCCCTTAATAAACTAAAGTTTTGTCGGCTATAAATGCATGGTATAGTAAATCTAAGCATGAAGATCTCACGGTATAATAATAATATTAATAAAGACTTAATGCAAGCTTTATCATCTTCAAGACAAATCTTTAAGCAGGTAAGGGCCCATTGCTTTAGTTGACCTGTCATATGTCACTAGTATCGGTTGAGAAAGCGCTATGTAAACTTTCCATAGCAAGATGGTCACATCGTTGATTAGACAACGTTCGTTATGTACATCGTAACATAAAATTAAAGAAATACAACTATCTAATGGTGCGTGTAACTGATCCTTCGTTACTATATCCTACTTAAGATTTAGATGTAATATGAGGAAAATTTGACATTTAGAGTCTGTACAGTAAGCGACGATTGTTAATTCAAAATAATTTTGTACAGTATTGTGCTTGCTCAAGTGAAATGTAGAATAATGGTGTCATTACAAATTTAATAAGAATTTTCGTAAGCTAATGTGTACTATTCATCTTAATAGCTTCGATTAGAAAATTGTGCCTATGTTATCAGTGATTTATCAAACACTAATCCAATTTGATCACTTCAAGCTATGCCTATCAGATGCTTCCTACACGATAACGATATGTTGTTGAGTATTAGCTGACTGCATGTGCTTTAATTTAGAAACTTCCTTTTTTTCTATTTCTCTTTTACAGATTGCATGTAGCAATATTCTGCAACGAGCACTATGCAGCTCACCTGCAACAGAGGAAAAGGTATACAAAAGAGCAGACATAATATGAGCAGGATAATGCTGCGATTAGAATAGATGAATATTAGAATTAATGGCATTCAAATTATATGTGGTAGTTGAATACAAGTATGCTTGCAATTTGTTTGAAGATCTTTTGTGTTTTATGATACCTGATATGCAGTTATAGCGTTAGCTACGGATTATGACGATGATATTTAACAGTATTATTATGTTTCTTATATATATAAATAAATAACTTTGTTCGTATCAGATGATAATTCAGCAAACTGTAGATAGCGTTCAATTAACGTTTAAGTTTAAATCCTTTCTAAATAGTTATGGCAAAGTGCCATATACCGTTTGAAGGCCAGCAATCTTGACGATCAAGTATTACCAGAGATTCATCGTAAATTTAATCAAGTCATAGGTTCAGATGCTGTTACTAAGAAGGTACATTAATGAGATCAGTTAATTTGTTTATTATTAACAATTTAGTCAATTTTTTATTCCTGTTTCCGTTATGACAGGATATACAGAATGGCATCTATCAATTTTACAATCAGCTATCAAAGGTAATATATGAATCATTTTGTTTTAAAATGAATCAATCGCTGTCATGTAGTGCAATTCTATAGATTAAGTAAAATAAAATATTGGCGCAAGCAGTATGGTCAGCTTTCACAAAAAAAACCTTACAAATACATTTACCTGTCTAATGTCTATACTATATAGACTATATAATGCTACATAGCTTGATTTGAATGCAAAGTCATTCGTTCTTCACACATTGTCATATTATCAAGCATCATAAGGTATCCTTTCTGGCATTGCTATATAATAGTCTTCAAGTCACTACAAATGAGGCCCTAGGTAGTAACGAGGTATGTACTTCCAATAGGCTATTCAATGCTTTTCTCTGACGCAAACTGCCGATTTGCAAGTCCTTTTTATTCCTGTCCTAAACTGCTATGTATGATTTCCGATGAAATGTACTTAGGGAAACAGCAAAATACCATTGTATCAATGGATTTTCCAACAAATGAAATACGATAGTGAAGGTGTTAAATTCCTTATAGACTGTAGAGCTGCCTTGCTTGTAAGATTAATAAACATAACTTATGCCGAATAAAATTCATAATTATTTTGCATCTGCTTTCTACTGATTCTGTTTTACTTATTTTAAAGGATCATGTGCGTAAAAATAAAAACTTTGGAAGTATCGAAATTCCTGCAATGGAAAAATCCCTTAAAAGTATTCTTAGAGAGTACTTTGCTACAGAGCATCTAAAAGTACGGACTGTAAGAAAAGATGATGACAAAGACTTAAAGGAAAAGGTAATGACTATATAGCTATCAGATTCTTTATTGATATGTTGAATGAAATAAGACAGGATATCACTGTAAGGAATCTAAAATTTTTAAATTTCATTGCTAAAGTGTAATTACCGGCTAGTCTTACTGATACATTTTGTGCTATAATATTACTGCTAACAGAAGCTCATTTCTAAAGCTTTTGCGTTAATTCTCGTCAAATAGTTAATTGAATATGAAGCTGTTCATGCGTATCGAGATGATAACGATCTTGAACAAAGAATAGGATTAAATAGGCGTTGCTTCATACTAACACACAACCAGTTACCTGGAGAGCCATTGGCGATTTTACATACAGAGTTAACCGATAAAACCACCGGAAATATTCATGTAAGCTGACATAATTATGCTGCGTTAAGGGGTAGATATACTCAATATATTAGATAAATGCAGTTAATTAGAATTTTCTTAGATATGATATGGAAATGAAATCTCGGTATTCCTTTAGGACATTATAGACAGGTCAACTAATGAGAAAGAAAGAATAGAAAGAATTTTGGTAGCCATATTTTATTCCGTTTCTGTAACAAATAAAGGTTAGATATGATTTCTTGATGGTAAAACTTTGTAATAAATATAGGAAGTTCAAGACTAGCAATATTTTTCGCTATAAAGGATTGTCAGGATTTCAATTTGGACAATATATAATTAAGAAAGCGGTTGGACAGTTACAGGAAGAATTTCCTCGGCTACGGGAATTCTTTACGTTATCCCCAATTCCAGGCTTTCGAAAGTGGCTATTGAATGAATTACGTAAAAAAGATAGTAAGCTTTCAATGTAAAACTCGATTTGTAGTGCAAAAATTTAAGATGATCCCAGCTCATAACGCTCTCTCTTTGACTTTCTAATATTTCCTAGAGTCACAATATTTTGGCTTAATGCAACGTATCCAAAACACATTAAACAAAGATGGTGTGGCTATGAATGTACCTGGAATGTTAGAGGTATGAACTGTAGAAGAGTGTTAGTATTTCATCACTTTTTGGGGGATGGTACGAGATAATAACTTTGGGCCTAGACACTTTACTAAAACCGATACATTTTTATTAGCTACTACAATCCAAGGATTGGCAAGCTGATAAAGAATCAGTAATTATCCAAGGACTAAAAGAAACGCTATTACCTCTGTGTGCTTGGTAATGCTGGATTAAAATTCATTGCAATTCTAGTATGTTATTATTGCTCTACAGTACAGTATAAGTACGCATATCTAAATTGGTAAGAGTAACGCAATAGTACTCCTTCGCTAATTCTAGTTATTTATTCTGCCTTGTAATTGTAGTACTGTTGATAGCTGACTAATATTATTTTTCATTACCTTTATATTGCAGTTACTTAACGTTAGAAAGAAATAGAAACCGTGCCATTAATCCAGTTGGTAAGATTCATAGTCATCAGGTTTATTATTATACAATTAGTAGCAAATAGATATTCCAAATCAGTTATTACAAGTGCTCATTTTACTATATAGCAAATTTCCACATTGGAAATGGTGCGTGCATATACAGATTAAATTGGCTAGCAGACTTGACCAATAACGGAATGCAATCCAGTTTTGGAATTATGGTTAATTATCAGTATATACTGAAAGAAATGCAGTATCATACGCAGCGGTATTATGAACATGGTCAAATTGGCGTCTCTAATAGTATCCACGACTATATCGAAGGGTCTTGTCCAGTTAATAAACCTTACTATATTGCGCGTAAAAGTAAATTATAGGTCTAGTTTTATAACTAAATTTAAGATTACTCTGTTAGTCTATAATCTAACGATAAAATTTTCTACTAAATTGCTTGTAGTTTGGATATTTAATGTTGCATTTTTTTATGTTTTGAAGCTACCTCGATCGCCTTTTAATAATCAGATTTTACGTTTGCGCTAATACAGCTTAGCACAAATAAAGATATTATTTGGTATCATACTTATAGATTGCTAGATTAATATTGTAAAGTAAAAGGTATGCGAGGAAGTACAACTGGTACATTATAGCACGCAAAGTCTAACGAGCGAGGGATCGACTAGTATTATGTATTATACAATTATTTATGCTTATCAATTTAAATTTCTGTTAGTGCTGTAAGAGTTAATTAGTTCGTTGCATGAAGGTTATATCATTTTACGAAGATATGATCTGTAACAAGAATAATATATATAATCTAATATGCGAATGTTTGTAGCATTGATATTAATAAATAATTATTTTCAACGGTACGGAATGTAGTGCATCTGTGCAAAATGACTGAGTTGATAATAAATTAATCTTGTGTAGCAGTAACTCTACAGTTCACAATGAATTTGCGTATGTCATTGACCAAACAGTTAATTAGTTCGTTGCATGAAAATTATCATTTTGCGAAGATACGACCTGTAACAAGAATAATCTAATACGTGTGGAGCTTTGATATTAATTGTTTTCAATGGTACGGAAATGTGCACGAGATTTAACCTCTGCGTTCAATCTTGTTAAAATTTGTCATTTCATTGAATGAGCAAGTCTACACAATCCGAAGGCAAACTGAAACACTTTTACTATCCACGGATAGGAATATCATATATACGAGTCTATTATATCATTCGAAGAGCTACTTGTACAAATGATGCTGTAGATCTAATGCTATAACAGCACCGTATAATCATGGACTACTAGTAGTGGTAATTTCTAATCACGGACGATAAAATGTTCACTACAGGCTGCAATAGGCTCCGACCGACAGCAGTAAATTGTGTTTTCGGATTTCGTAACAATTACTGATAACCAGTCCTGTCATAGTCCGAGCACACGCCACAGTTATACTGTCAGACTCAAAAATTGTGCCTGGAATTATCGGATAGGAGTTAGATTGAGCAAAAGCTTGTCTTCAGATTTCGTAGTGAACAAGAAGGAAGTTGCAATACTACAGTATTCAGTACAGTACTGTACTGTACAGTACGCTACAGTGCAGTCAATTAGAGTACAATGTACTGTATTCAAGTTCGCTTTAGGATGAGTACTGTACAGTACAGTACTGTACTGCACTGTACATTGTACTGTATTTCCAATACTGTGAAGACTAGTTTGTACTGTATTTAGCACGTACCATAATCAAAGCAGTTTTCATCTCCGTATATAAAGCGAATGCTTACCCTTCCTCCGCTAAAAGGGCTTTTGCTGAAGTGGCACTAGGTGCATTTGTATGCGCTTAGCGGAATCGCTATCAAGAGATTTCGGAAGCATAATTTTTAAAACCTTGGGGAGTTGGTTGTCATTTGCACCGACACCCACCAATAATAATTCAATTGAAGGAGTACTGCAGTGTACAGCGTAGATTACTTGGTCGATAGATCTTCAGTACTGTATTTAAACTGTGTAAACCAGATGTTACATGTTACTCATCCAATAAGAAATTTTCGATTTATAATAAGTCTTATTTTTAGCTTATGGTTAAAAGAGGTGATAAAGTGACGTTTCCATTTTATTCCATTTCTAAATAACTTGATTAAAGTTACCGTACTGTCTGCATCTAATCTATTATAATAATTCTAAGTAATTGGCTATCAGGGCTTTCCCACAACCAGACTACAAAACCTATCATATCCTACGGCTTTTTAAAGTTGCATTAAATTAGTGTAAGTTGGTAGAAGGTAATATTCCGCTTTAAATGCTCGATTCGATATCGAACTAATATGAAAGGTAAAAGGTTAATGACGTAACTGGTTCAAGAACAGAATGGATGATAATTAATTTATTAACTATGAATAAATTTAAATTTTATTATCGGTGTTGCGCCGATACCTTCCTTTTACTTGCGCTCCAGAAGTGAAAATACTCCACAATCGCGAAGATAATTATGCGTTCACACTGCTTTATTTACCACCAGCTTTATGGAGCTAGTTATTCTCCATCAGATTGTATTAGGAGTCGTAGCAGATAAATTTGATAGTAAGTAGTAGAATATTTCAGGATGTAAGATTATACTGTTGTCAATTTCGTCAGATTCGTCTATGAAACGATAATTTCACTTGCTCAATTGCTAATTTTAATCGCATTTATGAATTTAGAATTATTTTGAAAGTCTTTGATATCTCATACATTTTTATCTGCTAATGTCAACCAGTTTCATTAATAAGCAACGTATACCCAATAAGGCGAATGAGTTTTCTAGCAGCTGCAAATTTTGCTAGAGCCTGATGAGTTTTGTAATTATCATATTGAATTAACTCTTATCAGAAATCTTGTCATAAGAAGTGAGACAATACACCTAGTAATAGAAAATGATTAAACTAATATGATGGACGATTCAACTTTTACTTAAAATTGTCAAACAATAGATTAAGTCAATATTTTAATTCTTATATGTAAACTAATTTACAAAATACGATGACTAGTATCGTAACAGCTAAATAATTCGATCATATATAATAAGAGCAGTAGAGATATGCAACGGATGATAAGACTTGAATTATGGTATAGTACCTCCAGTAAATTTAAGATTTCAACAAAAATATGCTTTATGTCCTTAACATTTAGGCCAATTACTAAGGGAGAGAAACTTATTGTACTTGAATTACTTAAATCACCTCAGCATCGACGATCAGCATTACAGAATATACTCGTAATTTTCATGCTTGCCTATGCATTCATATGTTTTAAGATTACTAAAGAATAATGAAATTATTTTGGAATCATCTTACTTTAGTTTGTTAAGATAGCATATAATGGTTATAATATACGTTTTTCACCTCCTCAATTAATATTTATCCATCTCGCCATTCGTTTAACTCTAAATGGAATATAATTGCGGAACCGATGAAATAATTACGTCAATATGTGTTAATTAAACACTAGATACATACTCGTAATATTCTTACGCCCGAACTAATAAGACATAAGCATTTTTGTAATTTCAACTTCTTAGCTATATGAGTAATGTATTCTTACATATGATAACTTGAGGCTGTTATTGAAATCTTGGAAACAGGAATGAAGATTTCTGAACTCAATTTCATAACAGTCTTTGCCTGTATAGAACAGTAAGCAGGGGAAAGCAGATATATTTCCCTACAAATACCCAGCTATTGCTTTTACAATACTTTAATGTCTTCATTTAACAAAATATTTGCAGTATTCTTAAGTACTGACGCTATACAATATCATGTAACCTCATTCCGTATGATTGATTAGAAATTCGAAAATCGATTTACCTACTATTTTAGTCTACTGTGGTTGTTCCTTTCATGACTATTAATATTAGATACTTGATAAGCATTAAAGTTTAAGCTATCAAATAATATGTACTGTATAACTATCTCATATTTATAATATACCTCTTATAATTGCTAAATGCTAATGGCCTAGAATCATTCGAGTTTAGTAGGGCAATTTAAGCAGTGGACTAGCATGTGGCAAATATTCTAGCTAGAAAGTGCTTCAAAGGCTTAAGTCTCTTAATTGTTAGTATAAAATTAGTACTATTCTCTATGTAAACATTGACATAAAGTGATTACTAGTTCGTAAAAATAATCGCAATGGAAGGAGTTCGTAATATTATTAGACTAATACGGATTGCAAAGATCTCTAAAATAATGGTAATATCGTCAATACAGCAGCCTAAATATTAAGCAACAAAACAAATTTTATTGATATCAATATGCTTATGCCAGTCATTATTATAAACTAGATATTTAGAAGATAAATAACAGCTATTACTGACGAAATACAATTTTTATTATTCAACATTATGTGTTAATATAAAGAGTCAAAGCTTTAAAAATTACTGTTACTCTTCCTTATGTTTTCGCCATGTTGAATCTTTACTAATAACTTCATTGTGTGGTCCAATCAAGGAAACCGCGTGGGCACACTTTTGAGGTGTAATATATCTAAAGGTAATTAAGAAACCTTTACTGTATTTTTGATCATAACGGCTGTGATATCAGATTTGAAATCAGCTCATTGGCCTTCTACTATCTAGCAGTGTTATACCCTATTTACCTTTGGGCTACATCAACAATATCATCCGCAGACACACTCTTTAATTGACGGCGATAAGATTGAAACATATCATCCGTAATTCCGTAGTAAAATATCCTAGACCCTTTATCTGATGGAGCTACTGGAGCGTCTACCTAATGTACCAGATCGCAATAGTTTCTCAACTGTTTATGTCANAATTAAGGTTAGATATATTTCCAAGCAAAAACATACCTCTGAA